AAACTTCTTACTTAAATCTTCCTAGCGATTGCAAAGAACTTACCTAACTCCATATAAGTACTTGCATCCAATGTCAAGACACTGTTAAAATAATGACTAACCCGTACTTTTCAATGTAAGTTTTTGCTGGGTATGTATACAACATATCTCATATAGAATTGAACAATGGTAGTATTGGAAATTATAAAATATATTAACATTGGTTTCGTATATTCTTTGTGAAAAATCTGATAGATTTAACAGAAATAGTTGCGACCGAATGATTTCATAATATGTATAATGAAACTTCCCTACTACCACTTTTTACGGTGACAATTTCTAATAACAAAATCATCTCAACGCCAAATTAGAATTGTTTACTTTTTACAGGGTGTTTGAAAATAAAAATTGTAACAGAAAATCAAATAGGTCTAAATAATAGAAATCTTGACACTAGCGATAAGAAAAGTATATTGTTTGTATAGATAACCACCGAGTACTTAGGCATTTAAATATAGGGGGGGTTTATGGTATATAAAAATAAATATGTGAAAATGTAAAAAAAATTCCATTATCTTAAAACTGTTTATATTGAATATAAAAAAAACACTTGTTCAATTCTATTCAGGTAGGTTCAATTTACTAAATATGTATTTATTAAAAATGTGTAATAACAGTTTATAGAAAACACATTTAATACAACATTTAATAAATGGAAATACATATAAATAAATGTATATATTAATATTTGTGATAACAATTTTTGATGTATGTATGTTTATATTGAAATGAATTTAATTGAATGATCAGTCTTATTTTTTAATTACACCCCCTTCTATTAGATATGTATAGACTATTTTATTATTAATCTTGCACATTTAATCCGATTTTAAAAATGCATAAAAATCGGATTAGAACTAAAAACATAGTTCTAATGCTATTTACTATAGTTTTGTATTGAAACTTAAAACTTTAAAATCGTCTCCAGAATACTACAAATAAAGAAACAACTTTGGTACTTCTTTCTTGTTGCCATAGAATAAAATGTGTTAAAATTATAAACATTTTAAGTTGTCAAGAAGGAAACATTTATTAATTCTCCTATATTTAAAAATTTCAAGGTCTTGACAATATATTTGTTCCAAATTTTATTTGTTTATAAAAATACTCATTTTATTATATAAACAATTAAAAGTAAAGTCGAGCGTGTGCGAACCATTTGATACCCTACATCAGTTATAAATATGAAATCCAATTTATTTTTCATAGTAAGCAATAATAAGCAATTTATTGAAGAAAACCTAACATGGCTTAATCGACTCAGAAAGCGATTGAAAGACCCTTGATATACTTTAAAGTGAATAAAGGATCCATCATTATTTGTGTTACAAACATCATCTTAAACGCGTTATACACTTCCCATTAATAGTGGTGTAGGGTATAAAAAATATGCTAACTCATAAATTGTCTATAAATTTTTGCAACATTTTTTGTTATAGATTAGTTAAATTATAAAAAACTTAAAAAATATTTGTCATTAAACGACTGTAAGTATCAGTACCATTATTATTGCATAAAATTTGCGAGCGATATTAAAGGGAAAAAAACAACATTAATTAAAAGTATTCAAGCATTTCTAGCAGAATAGACAAATGCTTATTAGACTCCTTAATTTCGATCCAATTTATTAATTTGAAAATATATTTAAAATTAACAAGTAAGAAAGTATAGTCGGGCGTGGCCGACCATATGATACCCTACACCAATTATGAATATTAAATGTGATTTATTTTTCATAATAAAACATTTATCATCAATATTCCCTTGTTCCGATACATTTAAGCAATTCATTGATGAAAAACTAATTTTCTGTAAGAGGCTTTATATGGGGGCTAGGGGCAAATATGGACCAAGCCCGATAAAATTTTGCGAATATATTTATTTTTACATAATATTTTATTGTGGTGAATTTCATCGGGATATTTGTGTTTATAAGTTAATTTGGGACATTCAAGTAATTTTCTGAAGGGGACTTTGTATGGGAGCTAGGGTCAAATGGGGCCCGATCTTTATGAAATTTGGCAGGGTTATCAAGACTTCTATAAAACTTAGTTGTGCCATAATTTATCGATATATCTGTATTTTTAACATAATTATGAGCTCAGAAGCCCTTTTCGGGGGGTTCTGTTCTATGGGGGCTAGGTGAAATAATGGACCGATTTTAACCATTTTCAATAGGCTTCGTCCTTGGGTCAAATAAAACGTGCGTGCCAAATTTCATCCAATTATCTTGAAAATTGCGACCTGTAGCTTGCGCACAAGGTTTACATGGACAGCCAGCCAGACGGACGGACGGACGGACATAGCTTAATCGACTCAGAAAACGATTCTAAGCCGATTGGTATACTTTAAGGTGGGTCTAGGACGAATATTTTTGTATGTTACAAACATCAGCACAAATCCAATATACCCTCCCCACTAAAGTGGTGTAGGGTATAAAAATAGCTACTCCCATTCTTTATATAAATTTCTGTCATCTAGTCACGTAAGTTAATTATTGTATGCAGCATCTGTTTGGATATGAATGTATGTACATATGTTTCTGGTTTTAGACATTTTTACGTCTTTCAATTTTCTCCAAGGTACAAAGTCCAAACAAGTTTGTATCTATCATTTTATATTATTTTTTCTATCTTTCGGATACAATAAATTTTTTTAAATAAATACAAACAAAGCAGGAAAAACAAAGTTGGCAAAAGAATAAATTCCAAAAGAAATATTAAACCACTTTAAAATAACAGCAGCATTACCGCAAGTATTGTTTTGAAAAACTTATATGAAAAATATTAAATATTTATAGGTAAACGTAATTGAATAAGTTGAAATTAAAATCACCTTGATTTTTGTTATTGTTTATTTACAACAAATTTATTTTATTGTTCTACTACTATTTTTTATTTTTTTTAAAGCAAACATTTTAGTTTTACACTATCAATGTGTTATTAAGTCGTTATTATACTATAGTTGTTTATTTTTGTTATTTTCTTCTTTAGTATTACTATGAATAAAATATAGTAATCAAAGCCTATTCTTGTTTACACACTGTTTGCCGGTACTTGTCGGATTAGGAAACAATCCTCTCTAGCCGCCAACCGCTTTTTGTACAAGTAGGTATATAAAATAATACGCAAATATATATATTCAATATCTATATACTATGTATTTGTTTATTTAATCTCATGTAAAGGCTGTTTATTTATTTTTACAATTATAATTATTTGTTTGTATATTTCTATTTTTATAAATAAACATTATTTAGGTTATATTTTTATTAATTCTAGTCTAAAGATTGTATTTTTGTTTTTTGATTAGCCATACAGATATTGTGGCTTCTGTGCAAGAGCAATGACGCCTACACTGCCAACAATAGCAATTTGATATTGGTTTTTTAGTGCAGTTGTCTAGTATTTATTTATTTGTTTGCTATTTATGGCTTCTTTTGTTAATTTATTAGATTTATAAATTTTGTTCTTTAATTATTTAAAAAAATGTTTAGAAGAAAGCCTTTGTTCAAAAAAAGGAATTATTATAGGACATTAGTAATAGACATATTTTAAATATTTTTTGATTTTTATTGTTGTAATAAAAATGAGAAAATCCATACACTGGGAGCAAAAAGTTTACAAGCAATTTAAAGTGGTTAATAAGTATTATTGTTTTTTAGCAGAGCTCCACCTGGATCGCTTGTGAATTATTAACTACTCTAATTACATTAGACTACTTAACGGATAATGTACTACAATCATGTTTACAGGGGAGTAGTTTTGGGATAACTGTAATGGATCATGTACTTCATTAATTATTGCAGGGTATCGTCAGGGATGGAACTGCTAAAGAAGAAAGGCTTAAACTAACATTTAATATCCTACATGTTTTCTTATTAATTTAAAATTTTGTTTCTAAGAAAACCTAATATAGGTACTTTTAACTACATGATTTACTTTAATGTCATTAAAATAGAATAATTTCTATACGTTAATTATTATGTTGGCCCCATAATGGAAGTTACTGATGTTCCCACTGAAAATTATAATTTAATTCATTCTTAGATACCATTTCTAACATTTGTTGTCCAGACGTTATGTTACGTATTGCTTACATAATTAAGTCATTATTTGCGATTTGAAAGCGCCCCACAAAGACCTTTCGCAAGATACCTTCCAATATTTCATATCATTCCTTTGCGTAGAACATAAAAATACATAACTTAAAAAGGGACATTTTTATCTTTTAACCAGTTCACCACACATTGAGTCCAGGACAAACATTTTGAGAAATGGTAAGTGTCTTAAAATAAAACAAGTTTTGATTTTCGGTGGAAGCATCGGTAACTTAAATTTTCTCCATACAACGGGGGGACACCCTAAATGTACGTAGTTATGAAATTACTTAAACAATTTGAATATTACTTAAACAATTTGAATACATGCATACAACAGTATTCCAAGTTCTAACCAGCCGGATTAATTATTTATGTAAATAACACTTTTAACATACATATACAATAAATAAAAAACTTTAATAAACATTTTCTGCACATGTTAAATTTAAGATTTATTTTATTTGCTTTTATGCTTCACACATACTATTTAGGTATAATTTTGTATTTTTTCAATTTCATTTATTTCTTTTATTTTTGTGGGGCTCGTTTCACACATATTTTACTATTTCATTATCTAATATTTCCCTATTTCAACATTTATAAATGTTGGTGTAGTTTTTGTTTTGTTATAGAATTGTTGTTTTTTGGTAAAACAAAAACAATTCAACATAAAATAAGAAAAATAAAAGATAATAAGAAATTTAAAAAACAGAGATTTGCCCCCGAAAAAAAATAATGTTATGACGTTGTTATTTGTTTTTGTTGCTTTTTCTAAACTTATGTAGTTGTTAATTATATAATTTAAATAATATTGAAGAAATTTAATTTAGAATTTATTAATAAAACTACCTAAACTTACCCTATTCAAAAACAAATTTTAATAATTATTGGACTTTGTGCCCCGTACAGGCAGGCGGCTCTAGCAGTTAATATAATTTACTCACAATCACTTTAAATTCTTAATTGTAAAAATCATTGAATGTATTTATTTATACACTTTGTTGCTATTCTTTTTTTTGCAAATATCTATAGAACACCCTGTTTTGTGTAGAATTATTTTTATTATGCTCATTAATTTTTTTTAACAAACTTCTTTTATCTTTAAACACACACGACAGGGTAGCATAGGCTTTTTTGTATTAATTGCTTTTTTATGCACTTTTCTTAATAATTTATTTAAATTTTTTCTAATTTATTTTATAACACACCGTCACACAACTACTCGGTTTTATTCGCAAAATCGAAATGACAAAAAAATCGCGTAATTTTCTTATTGAATTCTCTTGTGTATGTTTGTTCTTCTTTTGCTTTTTATTTTGATAAAAAAAAATAGAAAAAGAAAAAGCATGAGCAAAAGTGTTGTGCTGCCAGAGTATCTAACGTCATGAAAATAAAAGAAAGAACGAGAAATAACAACAAATGTTTTAGGTTTGTTTTTGTTGTTTTGTTTTTATTTCATCATTCATCATAGTGTGGCCATTTGGTTTTTTTGTGGACAATGAACTTGAGTTTACACGGAGAGAATAGTTGATATGAAATTATTTGCAAAGCCGTCATCACTATTTTGTCATTCAATATGACAAACGTTTTAGAAATTAGACCAAATTTTTAAAAGAATTGTGCCTTTATCCAGATATGATTTATTGGTATAGAGTTACTTCAAATCCAAAGAAATATACCTGGGTCTACATTGGGACTGTTGTGTGCTCCATTATCAGTGCTTCTAGTTAGGAATAGAACTCATGACCTTACCCGAGGTAGGAAAATAATAATTTCCCTAATTGTTTTATTTCATTTCCTTCATTGAATATAATATAATCAATCTTTAATTCCAAGAATTAATTCATAGAGTTTTTTATGTGTAATTAATTCCCATGATTGTTATTTTCCTTTTGAATGACAATGTAAATGTTTTTTAAATTCAATCTGTTAAATGTTACAAAAAATTGTTCAGCCATTCGCATAGAATTCTTTCTAATAACTAAAAATTTATTTGAATTATATCATTTTTTTTTGTAATGTAAAATAGATTGATTGAAAATTTTGTTTTATAATTCAATAGTATGTACAAGAAATGTAAAAAATTACCATTCAAATTAATTCTCATCGAAATTAAATCAATGAACACTAAAGTCAATTACTTAAATATCTGAATTATTTGCATTAAAATGATTTTTAAAATTGATAAATGCATAAAAATATTTAAAGCTGAATCGAAAATTAAGATGAACTAATTCTTTTTCCAAGCTCTGTTGTATTTTAAATGTTTTGCTATAAATTGACAAGAAAAATCTTAAAACTAAATCTCTTAAGCGTCACGGCCACACATCAAATTTGTTTGACTCCAACGGTAAGTTTTTTGATTGTGTTAGTGAAAAAACTCACATGTATATATGCGGTGTGAGTTTTTTACTAACACAATCAAAAAACTTACCGTTTGAGTCAAATATGATGTGTCGCCAAGGCGCTTTAGACAATGTGCATATACCTGTTGATGCACTTACCAATCAATAAGGGTTAATTCTTGCATACATCTGGCATCACTGTGGATAATGCAGTCAAAAGAAAGAACGAAAGAAATACAAAAGAAAGTCCGAAATGGAATGAATGATTTTTTTATTTTTTCAACGCATCACGTTTTTAACATTTTTATTAATTAAACACAGCACAGACGTACTTAATTTTAAAACAAAACAATTAATTAAAAAAATTAGTTTAAATAAACGGAATTCACGTACTTATTTATACATTTTCTAACAACGATTGTAAAATATAATTGAAATAGTCAATTATAAATTAAATTGAAAAAAATATTGCAAAAATGTGTGCTTCAGCTTCACTAGAAAATAATGGTACATCTTCGCATTCAAATTCGGAAAGTATTGAATTAAATGAAGACAATGCTGATGAAAACATACCAATACCAGCCATCACATCTCCCGAAGAAATTCTCGAGCATTATGGTCCCAATTTCAAATTATTGCAATGTAATGCACAAGTTGGAGAACTATTGACCATAATAAGGGATAAGTGAGTATAGTATAATTATCATATAAAATGTTTGGTTATTTTTTGTTTGTTTTGATTTGATTTAAAAAGGTTAGAGATTAGTCAGCCGGTTTGATTAGCTTTAGATAATGTTTGCAATTAATTTATTTTAGTTTCTTTTAGGGCAAAGGCCATAGTCAGTGTGTAAACAAATTAAAAGTGTTTAGTCATTTTATTAGGTTTTTATTTTATATACATACATACCTATTTATAAACAAACTTTTGTTATTTATACTAAAATACCATTTAAGATTTAATTTTATGATTGATTTTTCCAAAAAAAGAATAGTAATTTGTTGGAAATAATGATGGAAAAAGTTTGTTATTAATAATATTATTTCATCTTTAGTTCCAACATACCAAATTTTGTTAATATTGTTCCAGATTTGTAACTAAATTTCGAACCAATTCCCGCAACTGGAATAGGTTGAAATTTTGTAAACATATATACATCTGATAACAATGCAATATTGATGTTCCCATACTCACCAGTTTTGCAGGTTTTAGTCAGAAATAGTCAATATTAATGACAACAAAATACATTGCATCTTTTGTACGAGGACCACACGAGTACGGGACATACATACATATGTATGTATGTATGTACATACATACATGTATATAATAGATATTATGCTAAATAATTTGAAATTGATTGATTATGACATTTCCTTCCTTTTTTACTTTCAGAAACACTTCACGTAGCGATTTCAAGTTTTATGCAGATCGCTTAATACGTCTAGTCATTGAAGAGTCATTAAATCAATTGCCCTATTCGGATTGCAGCGTAGAAACTCCCACCGGAGCCATTTATGATGGTTTAAAATATCAGTCGGGTAATTGTGGTGTCTCAATTATACGTTCGGGCGAGGCAATGGAACAAGGTTTGCGCGATTGTTGTCGTTCGATAAGAATTGGTAAAATATTAGTAGAATCTGATTCGGAAACGCATGTAGCTCGTGTAGTCTATGCTCGTTTTCCCGATGACATAGCTCGACGACAAATATTACTTATGTATCCTATAATGTCCACCGGTAATACGGTTTTACAGGTAATTATAATTACAAAATATATCAAAAATACCTACACACATAAATATGATTCATTTACTTCTTTTTAGGCTGTTAATGTTCTTAAAGAGCATGGTGTTCCCGAGAGTAGTATAATCTTATCAAATCTTTTTTGTACACCTATGGCGGCTAAATGCGTTGTTAGCGCTTTTCCTCGCTTAAAAATTTTAACCTCAGAGCTGCATCCTGTGGCTCCTAATCATTTTGGACAGAAGTATTTTGGCACTGATTAAAAACTCTTACATACATATATTATTATAAATGATAAACGCACGACATACACTTATACTAACTACTACTTACTTTATAAGATAAACAACAAAAACAAGAATACATACCTATATTAAAGGAACTTTATAGCTTAAGCTGCAATTCAAATAGAATTTATTTTTCTTCATATTGTAATGTTCATTTCAGTTCACCTCTTTTTAGCCAAACTTTTTTGTATATACAACCTAATTTATTTACTATTGGATAATTATTTTGCAAATTTTATAAACAAAACCAAATAAAGTTTTAGTTGCAAAATAGGTGAAAAGATTGTAGTTATTGGGTGCATTTTGATGTCTTCTAAGAATTGTCAATATTTGAAATATTTCATTATATACCTACATTAAAAATAACTTAATTTGAGAAATTGTTTTTTAGATGGCGAAAATAAATTTTATTGTTAAAAAAGCTAAATTTGAAACTTAAATGCATTTGGAACAAGGTTGAAAATAAAATAACAGATGAGATTTAAAGTGATTTAATTTTTTTGAGAATAATTTATAATATGTATGTATGATCAATTCCAATTTGTAGGAAAATTCTGGAATTATATTTTGTCGCTTACAGCCTATCGTTCACATTGCATTTTGGTCTAACCATAAAATAAAGGTTTATGAATCTCCCTGTTGCGCTTTTGAACGTTTTGTTTATTTTTTTAATATTCCTCACGTTTACTCTCACTCCCTCTCTTTCACGCATACAAATTTAAGTATGACAGACGAATTGATTAGACAAAGTAGGGTATAGCAACAAACAATAACATGTTTGAGGTTGTGTGTGAACATAAAGTAGAAAAAGAACAAGCAGCAGCACTTATGAAAAAAATCCAAAATGGTTCACGACGTGTTTGAGTTGATGACGAACTAATAACAAAAATACGAAAATAATTTAATAAAAAGTGAATAATTTAACTAAATTATCCAAAAATATTAAAAATAAACAAAACAAACAATAAAACAATTGTTAATAATTACTTAAACAACTTGCCAGAAGTGTATAATGTTTTTTCACTGGTAAGAGGGTAAAGAAAAAATCTGGCGTCTAGGTATATTTTGTTGTATGTGAAGAAGTGTGAAGCTGCCCTGGTATAGAGCAAACAAGAAAAAAAGCCTCAAATCTAAAAAGAACAAGCATATTGCAAAGAAACAAAAAATTAACCAGCGAACAAACGATACAAAATAATTTGTATGATGGCCAGTGTTTCACAATTAAATGATTTAAGAAGTTATTCCCGCCATTGGCTGGGTGAGTTTATCGACCTATATCAGTTGGAGGAATGTTTATGGCAACCCAAACATCCTGACTACAGTAACAATACAGTGCGCAACAAAGCCTACGACAAGCTGGTGGAAAAACTAAAAGAGGTCGAACCGAACCCCGACCGAAATATGGTGGTACGAAAAATCAATTCATTGCGTTCAGCCTTCCGACGCGAATACCGCAAAACCAATGCCAAACAAAACTATGAGACACGCTTGTGGTATTACGACAAACTGTCCTTCATAGCCGACCAAAACATTAAACGCACTCTGACGAGCTTGGGGGGCAGTAGTAGCGGCTCAGATGTTAAGGCTCCAAAACGTTCGCTTACCTTGGCTTTTGAAGATGATGATTCGATTGAATACGAAGATGAACATCAAATGGAGGCCAGCAGTGCTCATTCGACCTCTCAGACGGACTTGCAACAGGATCCCAGCATGACTTCCACTATTGCAGCAGTGGCCAATGGTGAGATAGTACCCGTTTCCATAGTCAAAAGTGAAGATCAAAAGGTACATCATCAGCAGCAGCAACACGAGCAACATCATCAAGAGCCACCACCACTGCATCATCATCATCAACATCATCAGCAGCAACATCAACAGCAGCAACAACAACAACACCATCAGCACCACCAACATCATCATCATGCTGCTGCCCAACAGATTCACACTCAAACCCAACCACAACATACGACTGCCGTCAAGGTGCTAGAAATCACATCACTCGATTCGAATTCACAGCGTGAAATTCAACAGGCCGTCAACTCACTGGAACAACAGCAACATCAAATCCAACTACAACAGCAACAACAGCAGCAAGCCAACGGGGCCGCCGCCGCCCAACTAACACAAATCCATCAGCAAGTTCCCACCATACAAATTGCACGTGAACACCTTCAACCTCTATTCGGTACCTCTGCTGCCACCTACACCACCGCTGCCACCACTGGCACCCAACGACCGGAAGATGAATTCGATGCCATCGGCATGAATGTGGCCAGCAAATTGCGTGTCATGAATACACACCAGCGTATCGTAGCTGAGAAACTAATCAGTGATGTTCTCTTTAATGGCCAATTAGACAATTTAAGTGTTAATTCACATTTGACCCAGTAGGATGTTGTTACGTTGAAGGTGGAAAAACTTCAACAACAACAGCAGCAGAGACCGTTTCAACTGCAGCAAATCCAACAACCACAACAACTACTGCAAGAAAGTCAACAACCATTGTCGTTATTGGAATGGTTTAGTCATTATTGTCTATCGTCTGCTGTTTAAATAGGTGAATACCCGCAAATTTCTCTGGTCGTAACTGAAATCGGTAGACGATCAAAATAACACTCTAGTTTAAGGCATATTATTTAAGTAAGTTAAATTTTACAAAAAAATTTTAATAATTTTTTTTTATACAAATTTGAAAGATAAAATTGAAATAGGTTATATTACTAAGTTTGGAGATTTTCGTAAATTTAATTTTTTAATAATCTGTTTCAAAGCCATGTTGAAAGTATGCTTAATTATTCAATTAGTTTAACAAACAAGTCATTTGTGTGGAACACAGTACTTTTTTGGTGCATGTATTTTTTAATTTCATTCAATTCAAATTTCATTAAAAAGTAAATGATATAATATTAACCTTCTAATAATCTATTGTTTTTGGATTCTTTATAAAAATATTATTTATTATTTTTATCGTAAAACTTATTGCAAGCAATCGATTTTTTAAAAAGTTAAACTCGCATCTCATATCTGAAAACTGTTTACGTTATTAGAGCTTTATATTTGTGTACATTTGAAAATTTTCAATGAAAAGGTTTATCTCAATTTTCAATTTTGCTTTCAAATTTAACAAATAAATAAAGTAATAAAAATTTCATGAAAAAAACTCAATAAATAAACATATTTAATATACATTTAACTGTATTTATCTCTAGATATTACAAAGGTTTGAGGGTTTTTGAAAATTTCATAATACTTTCAAAACTTTAGCATAATTCATTTCCTTTGGGAAAACTGTAAAACATCCTCTAATTATCTATGCCCTTTTCCCATGAAATAAATTTTAACAAAACTAAATGTATGTGTAAATGGTAAGAAATATTTATAAATAATTAATTAATAATAACTTAGTATTATTATATCAAAAATTAGTGCATACATAATTATGTATTAAATACATTTTAAAAAAGTAATGTATATGTACATAAAACAATTAATTAATTGTATTAAGTTGTATTTGTATTTTTTTTTTTTGTAATGCTTTAAATGTTAATTACTTTTTTTTCTTTTATTTCATTCACTTTCTAAATAGAATACTATGTAGTTGTTAATTTAAGTTATAATGATTTAAAAAATATAATATTTAATAGATTTTATTAATGTACAATAAAAAATTGTGTGAAATTTAAAATAACTTTTTTATATTAGTTTGAATCAAGGATGTACATACATCAATTACGAAGAAATACACCTAGGCCTTATTCGGGCCTGTTTGCGCTCCTTTACCAGTGGGTGAAGTGGAATCCAAGACCTCCGGTATAACATACTAGGAGGCCTATGACAAAATTGTTTTTTTGTGGATTAGTTTGTAAAAAACTGGGAAGGTTTTCATACCACTTATGCGGTATTTAGACCTCTGCAAATCTGACTAAATAACTAAAAGAATTAATGCAATTTAAAATAGCTATCTACCAACTACAGTTGGCTAAAATATGGGCCATTTTCGGAAACATTTTATTATTACAGTAACAAAAACGATAAGTTGAAAAACATCAAATAATTTTAAAAGCCACCAACAATAAAATTTCCGAATTTTTACGCCAAATTAAATTTAGCAAACGGAAAATTTTATTTTAAACATATGTAACTCTATGAAAAGTTTAAACATACATAAATTATTTACAATACATTAGCATACAGATAACTTAAATTCTAAGGATTCTCGGCCTTAACAGCGGCCACCTTAGTGGGAGGTTCGCTTGCGCCCAATTTTCTTAAACAATATTTGTAAAACTGCAAGAAAATAAAAACATGTAAGTATATTCAAAAAATCCTAAAAGTGATAAACATTTCCACTTACGGTCACAACTGGCAAATCAATTTCTTCATGTTCTTGTACCAATGACCGGTTCTTTTGCATGGCACTCCAACCAAAATGCAGAGCAATTATGGTTGGCACCATAACAATGGTAACCAAATTGCGTGATACAAAGCTTGGAGGTGTTTTTGGTGGTTTATCCATGTTTAATATTTCTTAAAATAAAGGATATATAAAATTAATAAAAATTAATTTTTTCACAACTATTACGCGAAAACTTTTGTGGTGTTTTTTTATATTTTGTTTTTGTTGTAACAGCTGTTAGCTCAAATGTAATTGTTTCTTTTAAAGAAAAACAGAATGTGTCATAATTATTTATTTTTAAATGTCAAGTGCTGTTGAATGCCAAATTATAATTACCGTGATTTAAATATGTCAATATTGGTTGGAGAGATCAAAAATAAGTTATATAAATTTGAAAATTTACTGGATATTTCCGGAAATACATAATATTATCAATGTTGTAGAGTCTCAACAAATAAATTTGAAGAAAAGGTTGGTATATAAAATTGGGAAAATGCACACATGCATTTTCCCAATTCGTCTATATAAAATAAAGAGTAGATATTATTGCATAACATCTCATAAACAAATCTGCTACTGAATCCTTTATTTAATTGCAGATTTCAAAGAACTACTTTCCTAACACTGTGTTTCATCAGTAAAAATTGTAATACACTTTTATTAAAAAAATAAATTGTTTTTATTTAATATAACAAGAAAAAAATCATCACAAGTTCAATGAGATCTACTATGTATATGCATAATTTAAGCTACATTAAAAACTAAACTTCTTAAATAACAAATATCCTATGAATTTTGTGCCTTTGCTATTTTAGAGGGTGTCTCGTTGATGTCAAACTTTGTTTCGCAATATTTGTAAAACTTAAAAGAAAAGGAAAAAACTGATAAAAACAAATTCCTAAAGTTTTAGATAACAAATTTCCACTTACTGGCAAATCACTTTCTTCGTGTTCCTTGGTATTCTTTAGCATATTACCAAAAATACTGAAACCAAAATGCAAAGCAATTATAGTGGGCACCATGGCAATAAATAAAAATTTGCGTGATAAAAGGCTAGATGATGGTTTTGGTGTTTTATCCATGTTGTACTTATTAATAAAATGTGAATTAAATGGTAATATATTTTTATTCACAACTATTATGCGAAATATAACAATTGTTGATTGTTTGTTTCGTCAGTTTTGTGTTTGTCTAACAGCTGTTTGTTTCTTATCTTTTTAAGTGCTACAGGCTGTTTCATAAACTTTTTTTTGATTTGTCATAGTGTTGTTAAATAAAAAATGGCTGTTTATTTACCGCTATTTCATATGTCATATTTTAAGAAATGATTTGCAGGAAAAATTGTGTTAAAGTATAGTTTTAGTGAAAATATAAAAGTTATTGTTTTATTTTACAATATTAAGTGCATTGCATAAAATATTACGAATATAACTAATATTCAGTAAACAACAAGTTAGAAAAGTAAACAATCAATTTGAAAATAGTAAAACTACAAGAAGACTGATGGTGTTCCAATGAAATTTCTTATATGTAAATTTGGAATGAAATCAAGGTCAGTACTATTATTTTCTTAAAATAAGAATGTTTTTGGTGAAAATCATAGTAGTTACAGTACAATAATACATATTGTAATTTGGTTTTTGCAACAGTTCGGAAGTTGTCGATAAGGAAAATGTTTTTACATATTTATTGGTGTCTAGGTGAAGAGGTGGAAACGAAAACAGGAGAAACTTTGCTAGCAGTTGAAGAAACTGCTCCAATCAATGATTTGCACTTTTATTGTTACTCTAGATATCCTGCCAACATAGAACCGATCCTTTTGAGAACTTTTTTATGCGAAACCATATATTGCCGGATAGATTAACCGAAATAGTGAAGCACAAACTCTGATAAATCACTTCCAGAAAGTTTGCCAAACTTAGTCTTATACCAATTTTTTTATTTAGTCTTATACAAATTTATACATAAAAAATTGTTCTCTTAAACTTAATACAAAACCAAATTAATATTCCCTGTGTTCATAAAGTTACCCAGTAGGATTTTGAGTTAACTTAAAACTAACTTATGGTTAACCACAAATGAGTCAGAGGTGACTCAAAAGCTAACCATTTTGCTTATAAAATACTATTCAGTTTTTCAATGTGATGTCATAGGAACGAGTCAGTACTCACTCACTATACATCAGTTTCTGTTAACCAGAAGTTACCTCAAGATGAGTTAGCTTCTAGTGCATAAATAAAAGATCAGCTGTGAGTTACCTGTGCAATTTTCTTATATTTTTATACTATTTTTAACAAATTGTTAGTGATTATAAATGCGTTCTATGTCTTATATTCCTGAAAATGTTAATTTAATAATAATAAATTAATTTTTCATTGCTGAAACAAATTTTCATTTTCATAATTTCATTTTTTCAATACAAATTGTTTGACAAATTTGATACGAGTTTCTATTTTATTTTTTATTTAAAATTTTATTGAAATGTTTGTTCATTTCCTCGATAATTTTTGAGTTACTTTGAAGCTAGTCATAAGAAGTTATCAAAAAGTTAACTTGATTTTTAGTTAACTCACAAAATCCTACAGGGTATCAATGGCTTATTTTGGTAATATTCTTGTTATAAATTATCAATAACTTTGTTAGTCATTTACTAATATGAGGGTATGTGTATAATTAATGAAATAGTTTGAGTTTTCCTTTCGAATAACACCAATAAAATAACATCATTCGAAAATTTTGCCACCAAAATATTTTTTACACTTAAAAAAGTTTTCCAGTTTTTATTATAAAAAAACTAATTTAAATTTTATTCCCATTTAACATTCTCTTAAATTAAGAGCCTTAACAATATATTTTTAGTGCTTTCTTTCAAATTTAAGTTTTCTTTGTAATAAAATTACTTCATTTTGTATGTGTTTAGGGCTGCAAATAAAAAAAAAATATTATTTCTTGTTTTATAAAACGCTTGTTTCTAAAAACTTACAAATTATTAGTTAGACCATTAGCCACAGTAGCTGCTAAATGACTGATATATTTCGGTTGCATTACCAATAAATGCACCATATTACCCAAAGCAAAAGGATATAGAATTCGGGCATAAGGTATTGCTAGTAGTTGCTTCAACATTTTATTTTTACTATCAATATTTGACATTTCAAAAATTGTCCACAGCGAGCGTATAGCTTGAACCAATGCGAATGAAAAGAGTGTAGATTGGGGATATAAATAATAGCAGGATCCAGCAAGAAAGGCAGATAAAATATGATTCCTAACATTAGACCAATAATGTTTACTATTAAACCAACAGTTAGCGAACTGAAATAAAAATAATTTTTAAATATATACTCATGTATGTTAATTAATTTAGTACTTACTCTATAAATTCCAATATAAGCTGCAAATAAAGCCATTGAGCGTACACGAAAGTTTTTTAATTTACCCATAAATTTCGATTGATTTGACATTGGCTTTACTTCACTCATTAGCATTTTAATTATATCCAACGACAGACCCAAAATGAAATATTTTCGCATGCCATCAAATAGATATTGTTTACAGTTACTTCGGGAATGTAACTCACATTTGGAATATTCTTCAATATTTTCCATTGGCTTTGTTTTGGGATTGGGATTTAATAACCAAAATCCTTTAGCATTAAACATTTGTTTGGCATGCAAAATAATGGCGCTGCAGGTCATAAATAAACCGGTTTGAATAATTCTGGAATTGGCGATCGTGCGACTAATAAAATTTTTACGCATAAGGAAAAATGTTTCAAATGCCTTAAAGAAATAAATAAGCAATTATTATTCTGATAAATGTTTTGCAACTAACACTTACACATTGAAATATAGTAGTTTCGTATAAATTAATCACACGATCTGGACCCAAATATAGTATATTGGCCGCCAGAAATGAGGGTATAAACAGAAAGCTGTAGTAACCGAACTGACCACAGATATTTCTTTGAGTATATAAATTTTAAGAAATAAAGTTATTCAATTAACTTAAAAACTCTTTATATATTTGTATACCTTAGCAAGCATATTAGAAAATTGGTTGTATACCCCATGCAAGTGCCCACAACTGAGCAACTCAAATAATACTCCAACGTTTTTTGTAGCTTCTTTTTGTTAATGCTGCGTATTTTAATTAGAGCTGGTAACTACAAATAAACTCTTCGCTCTAAGTATTTTTTTTAAATATGTTTAAAAATTCATACTTACTAAACATACTGGTGCAAAATATTTAAAATTTGATAAAATATATAACAATATATCCTTTTTTAAATGCTGCCTACATGTTGTTGAATGTATTAAATCTTGACAAGTTCGTGGCCGTATATTTTCGTGGAAAAATTTACTAAATGTTGTCATTTTATTGTGTTGTGTTCTAAGCAAAGGTTTTATTCGAACTAAAAATTGAATATTTTTTTGGTGAGTTCATAAATTATACACATAGTATGTTGTTATTCATTAAGTTTTGGAAAACGATACATATTGTTTATTTAAATTCAGTTGAGCTTTTGATTTGAATTAATATTAAGCTGTCGAAGAATGTACTGTATGTATATTATTTTTAATATTTTCCAAAGAGAATTAAAAGAATTTCTTAAGAATAACGGAATTTAATTTCATTTTGCAATTTTATTCTAAAATATTTAATTTACTATAAATACTTTTTAGAACGGATACAAGTAGTTACTCTCTCTCTCTCTGTTCTTTATTTTCACTAACTAAAATAAGCTCTTTTACGTATAAAAACTAAATCAGGGAATTTTTTTTAAATATTTGTATAGAGTTCAAGATTAGTATTAATTAAGTTAGGAGCTGTTGGGGCGACAACAATTTAGGAAATATAAAAACAATACCTTATAAACAATATATCGTCGAACAAAAACAGTCATGTAAAAATTTTAGAAAATTGTAAACATTGGTTTTTAATAATAATTATTACCGATTGATTTACAAATTTATCCATGATTTTAAATTTAAGTTTCCAATATTAAACCCATCTTTGAATACAGTGGTGGTTTTGGAGGTGTTAAGATTATTTGTGTAGTAATTTTTGCCAGAAACAATTTAAAAAATATAAGAAAGCTGCTCGAAATGAGGCGTGATTTCTAATTATTATATATTAATTAAATCAATGGCAGAAAACAAAAACTTCATTTCTTTCTTGGTTTAGTAAAAAAAAACTGTATGTATTACAAAATTATTTTATATATAGGATAAACATAAAACGGAAAATCGAAAAAAAAACAATATTCATAATAAAATTCTAGTTTAGTCAACTTCCTCAACGGTGGGGCCACCACGACCTCCCTGACCGCCTTGTGATTTTTGGCCAGCATCGCCTGCACCATGCATTTTTGACATAATAGGACCACAAACACGTTGACAGTCTTTCAAATGATCTTCAAATTCTTCTTTTTCGGCCAAAGAATTGTTATCCAACCAAGACATTTCCGAGGCGCACTTATCACGCACAGTCGTTTTATCGGCATCGGAGAGTTTACCAGCGGGAGCTTCTTCAACGGCCTAAAATAATGAATTCATTTGATTACAGCGCTTTATAAAACCAAGTTAACAATACTTACTTGTTTGCAGCTGAAAATATATCCCTCCAAGTTGTTACGGGCTTGTACACGTTGTCTTTGCTTTTCATCTTCATCCTTATACTTTTCAGCATCTGATAACATTCTATCGATTTCAGCTTTGGACAAACGACCTTTATCATTTGTAATCGTAATCTTTTCCGATTTACCGGTACTATTGTCCTTAGCCGATACATTTAAAATGCCATCGGCATTCAAATCGAATGTTACCTCAATTTTAGGCACACCTCTGGGTGCGGGTGGAATACCAGTCAAATTGAAAGTACCCAATAAATTGTTGTCTTTAGTCATGGCTCTTTCACCTTCATACACCTGAATGGTAACAGCATTTTGATTGTCACTGTATGTGGTGAAGGTTTGTTGTTGTTTGCAAGGAATGCGAGCATTACGTTCAATCAATTTGGTCATAACGCCACCAGCAGTTTCAATACCCAATGACAGGGGAGTAACATCAACTAGAAGAACATCTTGAATCTGAGAACTGCCTACACCGGTCAGGATAGCAGCTTGGACGGCAGCACCGTAGGCCACAGCTTCATCAGGGTTAATAGATAAATTCAACTGCTTGCCACAGAAGAAATCTTGTAACATTTTCTGGATTTTAGGAATGCGTGTTGAGCCTCCCACCAAAACAACATCATGAATGGTTGATTTGTCCATTTTAGCATCTGCCAAGGCCTTTTCAACAGGAGTCAAAGTGGAACGGAACAAATCCATATTAAGCTCCTCAAAACGAGCTCTGGTGATCTTGGAATAGAAGTCAATACCTTCATGTAAGGCATCAATTTCCAAGGAAGCCTCTGTGCTGGAAGACAAAGTACGCTTAGCTCTTTCACAGGCAGTGCGTAAACGTCTCAAGGCACGAACATTGCCGGATAAATCACGTTTATGCTTGCGCTTAAATTCCTCCACAAAGAAGTTAACCAAACGATTGTCAAAATCTTCGCCACCCAAATGAGTATCACCAGCCGTAGCTTTCACCTCAAACAATGATCCTTCATCAATGGTTAAGATGGAAACATCAAAAGTGCCACCACCCAAATCGAAAATCAATACATTCTTTTCACCCTTTAAGTTCTTATCCAAGCCGTAGGCTAAAGCGGCAGCAGTAGGTTCATTAATAATACGTAGGACATTCAAACCAGCAATGGAACCAGCATCTTTGGTAGCTTGACGTTGGGAATCATTGAAATAGGCCGGTACAGTAATGACAGCATCTGTTACTTTGGCACCCAAATAGACTTCAGCAATTTCACGCATTTTTGTCAACACCATGGAACTGATTTCTTCGGGAGCGAAACGTTTACGCTCTCCCTTGAACTCTACTTCAATTTTAGGCTTGCCACAGTCATTGATCACCTGGAAGGGCCAATGTTTCATATCTTGCTGAGTTTTGGGATCATCGAACTTGCGACCAATTAAACGTTTGGCATCGAAAACGGTATTTTTGGCATTCATGGCAACCTGTTAGGAAACGGATGTTAGATATTAGTTTTGGAAGAGCTGTATATAGTGAATAAAATATTTTTGAAACCTTTGTGATTTGAAAATGATGAATTTGTGAAATTTGTTCGAAATTGAAATCATATAGTTTTGAATAGATTTTAAGTAATTTTCCATTATTAATATAATCTAAGTGTGGCTACGGTGGGTTGGTGTTCCAGTCTGTTACACCGGAGGTTGTGGTTTCAGAGAGCACGGATTTGATGTAGCATACATCCTTCTTTCAAAATGTTATATAAATATCAATTTCAATAGAGGTCATTCTTTATTTATATTTTATAATATTTCTAAATTTAATGTGCATCACATCATTTCACCTACATACGTATTAAAATTTTTTTTTATTATTATTATCGTATTTTTCTAAACATAAACACTAGAGGAAATTGTTTGGATGAACAAATTAAAAAAATATTTATAACCAAAAAAAAAAAAAAACGAGAATATTCCACTTGTTTTTTGCACAACAATTTAAATTTATTCGAGTATGATGTGTGAAGAGTCTTCGAAAGAACATTTCGCATACAACAAACCTCCCACTCATAACGAAAGTCTAAACGTCTTTATCATCATCTACATTAGATGTGAATGCTTTTAATTATAAATTTTATTTTCTATTTAATGAAATAACAATTTTTACGATTCTAATTGATTTAAAATTTTTTATTTCATAAAAAAATTAATATAAATTTTACAATTGTAACAACAAGAACATGTTTGGTTACAACCATTTTTGGTGTAAAATCATTATAACAAGAGAGTGTTATAATTTCAAATATGAACATTTTTAAGTGTTTGACACTATAGGGGATCTACCGGTATAATACGTTTTATGAAGACAATAGTTTTAAAAAGTATTTTATGTTCGGTCATTGAACTGGCACCGAACGCCTAAAAGGTGTAAATTTATTTATTTTTATCTCCTATGACAATGACAGGTAAAGAACTAGTTACAGCAATATCTCAAGAAGTTGTATAGTGTTAAAGGTGGAATTTGTAGCATTCTCAATAGAAGCAGTCCTATTTCCATTTCTACGTATCATTCCTTTAAAGGATTATGTAAGTATGTGTTTATAATTATTTATATCATAAAACATAATCATAAATATATGTACATAAATCTGACAGACAGATATCAGATTTATGTACGAAATTAACATCAATTGACAATTCATATTTAATTCAAACAAATGTCAAATGTATTGCACATCATATCAGTCACTCTAAATCAATCTTACAAATTCGTAATTTTTAATATTATATCTTTTAGTATAAATATGTCTAATATAGAAGTTGAAAACAACAAATCAGACAAACAAAAGCTTGTTCAATGACCATAGAAGTCCAGCCAGTTGTCGTATGTTTGTGAGAAGAGGTCAAGTTAATCTTGATGCTTCAGTTAGTTTCTTTTAATGTTGCTATTGCTGCTGCTAGTGTTGTTGTTAGTTGCTACTGTTTTGTTGTCAACATACATTTTGTCCAAAAAATATGAACAATAAATCAAATGGTGTGAAAAATAATTTTCATCAGTTTGTTGTTTTTTTTTTATTTGCCAAAATAAAAAAATGTACAATATTTATACAAAACTAAATGCAACAAATTACACTTTTAGAATAAATAATGAAGAGTATAGAAAAAATCGAAATCAAAAAAATTAACATTAAATTAAGGAAATTTCAAATTTATGAAAACAAATGTGTTTCATAATTTTTAGTCGAAAAAAATCAGAAAAATATTTACAAAAAAAATTGTTAACACATTTTTTTCGATAATTTGTTTTCGTGTTAAAGTATTTAGAAATGAAAAATATTGCAATTTGAAACAAGAGAATTTGAAATTTTCATATGAACAAATGAATCATTTATTGTTGTTGCTTGGAAATGAGTAGTTTGTATGTAATTGGAATTAAATAAAGTTTCTCTAATATAATTATATATTATCACTAATAAATGCGAGGGGGTCTTAAAAGAATTATGGTTAGTTCAATTAATTATTTAGAAATCATTGCAAATAAGTGGTTAAACATGAATAAACTAATATCTAGAAAATATGCTTCTAGCTGATCAGTCCTAGTTTGGAAAAAAACTACAATAACAACGTTCGATTAGTAATCATATTTCTTACTTAAAATCGTTAATTTTTTTAATGGAATTATTCTGACTGATTTTTAATAAGAAATTAAAGGAGCTCGATTAGTAAATAAGACTCCATTCGATTAAATCAGCAAATCAGAGATCAGTCATATTTTTCATAAGGTATTAAATAGGTTTAGAAAGTTTAGAAAAAATATATTAAATATTTTTAAAAACTGTGATCTAGATCTACATTTACATTTCCGGAAAAAATTTAAAAAATTATATACATATACATATGTATATGTATTTTTAACTCTCAATTATAAAACTGAAATGAATTTTAAATATTGGAATGCAATAATTATTTCCCTTAACGAAGAATTAGTGCATTAAATGATACTTTAAGGAACCAAAACTAGTTGAAATGCTCTAAATAATAGAGATCATAACAGGACCTCACAACGTCAGATGTTATTCCCTTAATTGACACTAAAAAGTTGCAAATATCTTGTTATATTTTTTCGTTACTATATGCTTAAATATATAACGGATAAACGATAACCGGAGATTGAGATTATTGGTCATAAACAGCTTAAGTGACGATTGACTAGACTCCTTTTCCATTCGAATGTTTTTGCAAAATTTTTACTGACACAACTCTTTAATAACAAATTCACACATTATCATTAAAAAATCTAATTGCACGTACCTCGTATAATTTCAATATCCCATGGTTTTATTTTATAATTGATTTATTAAACCAAATATGGATATTACTTTTTTACAACATTGTTTTATGATTTCGTTTTTTTTTGTTAATTTTTTTCCGTTTTAGTTTAGATTGATATTATTTTACCTGATTTTTGGCAGCATCGCCAATTAAACGTTCGGTATCGTTGAATGCAACATAACTGGGTGTTGTACGATTTCCCTGATCATTTGCAATGATCTCAACTTTATTATGTTGCCAAACACCAACACATGAATAAGTAGTACCAAGATCTATACCAATTGCGGGAGCTTTAGCCATTTTGGTTTAAGTCTAGTTTTTATATAATTATCTGTAGATTTTAATCCAAATTATAAATGAGTCTTAATGCTGTCAAATCTCACTGACAATCTAAATTGTATTTAATTTTTTTTTTTCAATAAACTGCACTTTTTTTAATAATTTCAAAGCAACCGCTATTTGAGTTGTTTTTGTAACGTTTCCAACGACGTCCAACGTCAAACTAGTGATTTTTCTAAATGATTCACTAGATTTTATGGCTTGTTTTGTGTGTGTTTTTATAACGCTTTGAAATAAATTGATGTACAATTTTTGCAAAAAATCTACAAAAATTAGAACTCTCTCTTTATTTTTGGGCTAAAATGAGTGAATAATTTTCTACTCAAATTTTTGGTGAAAATTTGCAAAGAAAATGTATTGTATTTTCTTTTTTTATTTATTTGTTTATATTTGAATTTATTCTAGAATTATTGTTTTGTTACTATTTGTATTGCTTTTTTTTAAATAAACAAAAATATAGAAATTATGTTTGGTTTAAAAATAACTTTATTAAAAATATTTTTAATTTCGGCCATCTACAATTATGGCGTATAATTGATGTCGTGGGTGATCGCCATGACGTATTCGCCTGTCTGTCTATACGTGTTTATGCCGGTGATTTGTAGGTTAAATATTTAATTCATTCACTTACTTATCTCTTACCCTTCTTCTTTTTCTTTTGACCATCTGGCCAAGCAAAGCCGCGAGATTTTAAAACATCCTATAAATAGATATTAAAAATAGTTTGATGTGTAATTTAATTTATTAGTTTATCAATTTTAGTTTTTTCACCTGTACATTATGACAGACATAATAGGCATTTTCCATGGCTGCATCATTAAATATATCACAACCTAATGATTTGCCTCCCGAACTTTTTTTCTTGCTGCCACCCTCCTTCTTTTTTTTGTCATCGCCTTCGCCACTGCCGCCATTGCTGGATGTTGAGTCTTTACTATTGCGTTTTTTACGTCCCTTTGGAGCCATAGCTTAGTTTTAAATTAATAATTCCATATAAAATGTCAATTTGCAGGAGTTTTTAAAACATCCTCTTATGTTTACATAAAAAATGTTGTCTAGTGAATAATATATTGATTTAATAGTTAGCGGTAACCCCGGTAACTATGTAAGTCTTAGGATTGCCAATCAAAAAAAATAATACATTTATATACGTTTCAAATTTCAACATTTCCATATTGCTAGAATTATGAGATCAATTCTTTACTTGCAATAAAATTAGATCTTAACGAACATTCGCAATAAAATATAGCTAAATTGGAAAATGTCGATAGAAATTCAAAATTGTCTAGTTCATGACATAAGTTTATTTTTATCCCGAAATGAGCATCCTGATAAAGGAAATTATTTCTAAACGCACTTGAAATGTCATGAAATTTCCAAAATTTTCTACTAATAAATAATTTTTTATTATTTTTTTCATTAGAGTAGTAAAATAATTGTAATAAATATTAAACATAACTATTCTTACTTCTAAAATTAATTTGAATTATTTTTTAAAACCTTCAAAGAATTCGGGCCACACTACTGAAGCAATCCATTTGCAATACGACGATACACGTGTATAGACACCCGGCTTTTTGCTGCCACAAAAGTCTCCATACGATATAATACCTACAAGATAATGACGATATGTATTTCGATGCTTACGATGTTCCAAATTTAACTGCAACGGTCCACCCGAATCACCCTGACATGTATCACGATTCTTTTCTAAATCACGACCGCATAGTTGAGTCTCTGTTATGCCATGCGGGGTTTTTTCACTGGGCGGTAAGGATTGTTTGCACTTATGCAAGGGTATTAACGATAGACTTAATTCCGTCAATATGTTAGTGGGAGCTTTGGCAAAACTGGTGGAACCATAGCCCATGGTGAATACACGTTCATAAGGTATATGATCGCTGGTCCATAGTAGTATAGGGCGTACAAATTTTGTAAATCTGAAAAGAGATTTCTTTAAAGTGCTTTAAAAAAGTTTATGCTAAACATAACTTACTCTACCGGTTTTTGTAGCTGAAGTAAAGCTATATCATGATAAGTGGTATTAGAATTGTAACTTGGATGTACTATTATTTCCTTTATGGCACGTCTTTGGGGATTGCTATTACCGGTTTGATCTTTAAGATTTATAATACCCAATTTAACTATAATAGGAGTTTCCCTATATTGAGAAATAAGTAAGAGTACTTACATATGTATGTAATATTAGTTTAAATTTATGTTACTATCTTACCCACTTAAATAGCAACAGTGAGCTGCTGTTATCACAAATAAATCACTTATCAAGCTGCCGCCGCATTTGAATTCAATTTTGTCTTCATTAGACAAAAATCCTATAGCAGCCTGTCAATTAAATTGTTAAAATATTAGTAAATTTTAGGAAATTATATGTTGTATAATAATTATAATTATTAATTGTTATATTTTGTATGAAGGTCTTCGGTGATTCGTTGTTTTCTAAAGCTTCGTTTACACCTATTAAATATTTTACAAAATTGACGTTATCTCTAAATAATCGACATTTTGATTTTTTTAATATTTACTTAAATATAATATATTTTTGCAGTTATCACTTTAGAACGTCTTTATTATTGTATGTTTCAACATTATTTGCAATTACCCAAAAATTGTAAGATCAAACAAATAAATACAAAAATTAGTCGTTACGGCTTTACTGTCAAATATTTGTTAGGTGTGAATGTACCTTAACAATATATGCAAAGGGGAAAATTTTTAGTTATTCTCCGATAGGCTACGAAACTAATCAAAAATGTCTTGTTTTTCGTGAGAAGGATAAACATATGTACCTATGTATATAAGTTTGTCATTCCGTTTGTAATTTGTATAATATAATTTCCGACCCTATAAAGTATATACATATATATTCAGAGTACTTATAGATAGCGGAGTCGATTAAACTATGTCCGTCTGTCTGTCTCTCCTGTAAAATCAGCAAAATCGGTCCGAACTGATACTTTTTGAGTTTTCTATAATATTGAATCTGGAAACATGAAATTGTCATGAATGGTCATCCAAATGGTACTTTGTGTATAATATCCTGATTGAATGAAATTCGTTCTTCATATGGTTTTATACAATATTAAACCTAGAAATATATAACCAGACATATAGAATCCTGATGGAATAAAAATCTATGAGTTAATTTGTGGGTACTTTTTGTTCTTCAAGTGGTACTTTTTGAATCTTTGAAATATAATATTGAAGTCATACGTATACGATCCTAATAGAATGAAAATTTATAAGAATAAACTTTTTGGTTCTTCAATTGGTACTTTTTGAACCTTTCTTAATATTAAACCTAGAAACATAGAATTAAACACGCAGCGTCCTAATTAAGTCTATAAAATGGGACTTTCTGGTACTTTTTCGTTTTCCAACTGATATTTATTGATTTTTTGTAATAAAATACGTACTAATTCTTTTTTAATACACTATGCTGAAGGGTATAAGTGTAATAACCGGTGCAGCCGATACAGACTTCTTACTTGTTTCCTTAAAAATTTTGATAATATTCTTATGAGCATATTATTTTTGTAGAAATTAACATTTGAAATTAATTTTTAAAATCAAATTAAAATTGCAGAATTGATTAAATCTAAAACATTATATTCAAAAACAATATACATATAATAACTTAGGTCTCGCCTATAAAAGGTCTATGTTTGTTATACTTAATCCGAAATAATATAAAAGAAAATAGGTACCTGTTATACACAATTTTTCCTAAAAACTTTTAATTGAAAAAATTAAATAATTTAATTAATTGTTAAATTAAATAATAAATCATCTATTTTACATTATATATAATTAATAATATTATCGGGGGCATTTAAACTGATTTTTGTTTTGTTATTTGATAAAACATTACTAAAATTCGTATTTAATTTTACGTTGTTGTTTTTTGTTAATAAGGTGTGACGTACATTTTGCTTTTAGAAAAAAATCTTAATTAGTTAATTAAATAATTGTTATAGATACTGGTAATATAAATAAACAGATTTGTTTTGGTGATATCGAATTTTTTTTATGTACTAAATAAAAAAAGTCTATTCAACTTTAAAGTTATTAATGAATAGATGCATTGTTATATCTTATTTCCAAAAAAAATTCCATAAATTTGATTTAAGTCAGTCAGTTTTGTCGTTCCTAAACTCAAAATAAATGATAATCTTTATATAGTTATTCTAAACATAACCTGTTAAATTCAGTAGAATAAGATGCCAGCTAATAAATTCGATTTAATTGGTTTTATGCCCCCAGAAAATTCAATTCAAAATATGTGCATAATTTTGCATGAAATCAGTAAAAAGAAATAAACTTTAGTATAATAAATCAGTTAAAATAAACGTGAAAAATTGAATGAAAGTAGTAGGTCACTAAAGTTAAGTACGTTGATACTTCAAGATTTTGTTATAAATTTAAAATGACTTTTAAATTTTATTATTTAATTTTTATATACTTTAATATTATTAAACCATAAATAACATTCGAAAATTTTTAAAACACGTTTAATTGATAAAAGGAAATAAATAATTTATGCACCAAATAACAACTTTGTATTTAAAGGGTCTTATTCATAAACTATTATCAAAGGTTTATAAATCAAATTTTCATAAACTGAACTGATAGATATTTAGTTCATTAACTGGTTATTTAGGGATACACATACTTTAGATATAAAAATACTGGTCACAAAGTTATATTGACTTTCCCAAGTCATGGAAGTAGATCTACTAAATCAGTGAAAATTTCTTATTCCAGTATTAATAAGTGTATATATGTGTATGTATGAAGGTGCCTTATCGCAATTACCTGAAAGTTATCCATTCTTCACACTTCCATGGAATATTGGAAATGTTGAAGATCGATATATTTGAATACCCACTTATTCATAACAACCAAAAAATATAAGTTAAAGTAAAGTATTTGTATCGATCGAAAGTTCTCTTTTAATTTGTTAAATATTGGTTTTTAGATATTCTTTTTTTTTAATGTTTTAAACACTAATACATCTATGTACTTCAACTCGCAATCAACTTTTACCCACCACATTCCTACAAATGTAATTGCTCAATTTTGTTACGATTTACTTTTTTGTTTAAATTACAAATTCAAAATAAAAAAAATGCATTTACATATTTACCATATGAGGGTATTGACCGGGCGCTACAATTGAACGACCATTAAAATCATCATTAACTGATTCCTTTTCGTATTGAATCAAATCTTGTCTACCATGATTTTCAACATCATTATAAATATTATAGAATTTTTGATAGTATTGTGCTTCCGGTGTATATGGTGTGGAGTATTTTAAATTTGTTCGATATTGCAAATGTGGTTTAACAAGATCATCCACACTTAAAGCTTCATGTACCGACCATCCTTTGGAATATTGATATTGATAGACGTCAGGATGAGTGCTTTGATTACTGCTGAAATTGTCATCTGCACCAAATCTACTCTCAAACATGGGAGAGTTAGGATTTACAATGTTACGATTCGGTAGCTGCTGAAGGGTGGAATACTTTTGTGGTGTATTCAAATTTGCCGTGGATTGTCCACCAATTGCTCTTTCTTGGATGTTACGATTCGATTTTGGAAAGTTGGAATAATGTTGTGTTGTAACAACATTTGTAAACGATGGATTATTAATTGCTCTTCCTTGGGAGTAACGATTCGGTAATTGCGTTGTAGAATGTATTGTGGAAAATTGTTGGTTTCCAACCAAATTTGTAGACGACGATGTTCCAACTGATCTTCCTTGGGTTTTACGATTTGATACTGGAAAGTTGGAATATTGTTGAGTTGTAATAACATTTGCAAACGATGGATTATTAATTGCTCTTCCTTGGGAGTTACGATTCGGTAACTGTATGGTGGAATACTGTTGGTTTGTTGCAAAATTTGCAGATGATGGTGTACTAGTTGCTACCAGTTGATGTATGTTAGAAAACTGTTGGTTTGTGGCAAAATTTCCAGACGACGATGTTCCAACTGATCTTTCCTGGATGTTACGATTAGGTAACGGAATGTTGGAATATTGTTGTCTTGTATCAAAATTTACTGATGACGGCGTATCAACAGTTCTAACTTGTGGATTTCGCTTCGGAACCTGTATGGTGGAATATTGTTGGGTTGGAAGAACATTTTTAGACGTTGGTGTTCCAACTGATCTCCCCTGGGTGTTACTTTTCGGTATCGGAATGTTGGAATACTGTTGGGTAGTAACAACATTTGCAAACAATGGAGTATTAAGTGCTCTTTCCTGGATGTTACGCTTCGGTGGTCGTATAGTTGAGTATTGTTGGTTTGTAGCAAAATTTCCTGACGATGGTCTACCGATTTCTTTAACTTGACCCTGCACAATTGTAACACCTCGTAATGCTGATTTGGGATTTCGTCTTACATTTGTGTTATATTGTTTTATTCGGTTTTGGTCTCCTATGGGTCTACTGTTTAATAAATTTTGTTTTTGCACATTATTCGAAATAGTGAATTGATTTTGTGTTAATGGATTTTGATTGACACTATATTGTAATCTTTGATAATTTACAGTTCCTTGATTTCTTTGATTTGAATTTAATATATTTTGTTGTTGCACATTATTCGAAATTGTAAATTGATTTTGTATTAATGGATTTTGATTAGTGTTATATTGTAATTTTGGATAATTTATTGTCTCCCGATTTCTTAAATTTGGACTTTGACCATTCAAATTGAAATTATTTTGTACCTTTGGTGTTTGTATGTAATTGAAGGCATTAAACTGTGTATAAACTTTGTTAAAACTATTAATTATAAATAAATATAATATGATTTTCATTTTATTTTTGTGTGTGTTATTATTGGAATTTTAATAATTTTTTTGTTTATTATAAAATAATATTGATTGAGAAACGTTAAGATAGAATTTCGGCAAGCGACTGTTGCGTCAGTTATCTTATACTCAATATTTATTGTCAAAAAACAAAATATCAATACTTGTTTCAGTCTTTTTTTAATTCTTAACCGAAATTTTTTGAATATATTTAATAATCTACTTATACATATGCATGTATACTTAAATGTTTTATTAATCAATAAATATTTTGAATACAATAGTGGTTAAAAGTGAAGAGTATTTGTTGATACGAATTTTAAATCTAACATCGCTAAAAAATTATTTATTTTTGTGACTTGCTTTTAAAAAAAGTTGTCAAGAATGTATAGAGAGAATTTAATTATACATTCTCAAATAATCTAGTACGAAGGTAGTAAGTTGGTTTTTGAATTATATTATTTCATATGGGCAAATCCATACGATTGTATGTGACGTTCATACGCCTTCAGAGTGATATAGATTTGGTAAAAATGGGAGAACTTGGAAAACAATATTGACATTCTGCTCCATTCTGAGAATAATATATTTGCAAAAGGAATCATCCCATTCGGAATCTTGTTTTCCAAAATATGGATTAAAATATGGCGATATCATATCTGAAGTACATGTAAATATTTACGAAAATCTGCGAATTCTGTAGGTGTATATTTTTGTTTTAATTTCTTACACTATGGGACATATTTTTCATTCGTAATCCATAATTTTTAAATAAGAAAAAAATGAATATAATTTTATAATGAACATTTTTGAATATCGTACGTGACACATGTGATACATTTTTCTCCTGAATTTTTTTAGGTTATAAAATATATATTTTGGAAATATATGCACACACACACACCTCAACAAATAAAAAGGAGTAGGAAAGTGCAGTCGGACATGTCCTATATACATGTTTAAGCAATTTATAGATAAAATTAAAAAACAAAAGTTATATGGCGACTAGGGTCAAATATGGACCGATCCTCATAAAATTTTGGGGTGGGATTTTTATTCATATAAAACTTATTTGTGCCAAATTTTATTATAATACTAGTGCTTATATGTGAGTTATGGACGTTTAAGTGTTTTTCTGAAATTAAACTTTGAATGGAACTAGGGTCAAATGAGGCCCATTCGTTATGAAAATCGTCATAATTTTGGAAGGAATAGTATTATAATTAACAGAATTATGAGCTAAAAAGTGATATTTGCGTGTCCGTTTGTATGGGGACCAGGTGTAAAAATAGACCGATTTCAAAAATTTTCAACAGTCTTCGTCGGTGCTATAAAGATCATATACCTGAGTTAGTTGTTTTGAAATTATGGACAATGATTTTTTAGGATCTTTATAGAATTTCTATAAGATTTATTATACTTATTCATACATACCTACAACACCTGCCGTGTTGGTATTATTTCAGGGTAGTATTTTTACACTATATTGCCATCGGTGTGTATTCTAACACGCCGGTCCATGTACAAGAACTTTGCTCAATTACTCGAGCTATCTAATTTCTGACCATTGCTGCCCAGTTGCTTAACTTCTGAGATGCAAAAACATCTTAAACACGCATGGTTGTGTGGTTGTGAGATAGACTCACATAGGCCTCTACAATAACCAGAACAAGACAGAATCCGAAACTTTGCTCTGTGTGTTATCGGTTCTTGTGGTATCAGGTTAAAAGGCCAAGGATACATTTCACACTACCAGCTTATAATCCCGGCAGACTGGAGGTATTGCTGGGACCTCTTTTCCCCGGATTGTAATAACAACAAATGGGGAAGATTATCAAGCCCTGTGGACAGTCAAATTGGCTAAAGTTATGGGAGTATATGATCTCTCAGGTGGACTAAACTGTCGAAACGAAATAAATATGATATGATTACATAGTCAAATTCCTTAAAATAATTTCACATTTGGCAGTTCAAAGCAGGGTAAATATCGGTTATATATATATATTTTTATTGTAAATAAATATATTTAAAATTATGGATATCCAATAAAAGTTTAAGAAACTCTGTCTGGAATCTGAGACATCATTAAAGTAAATCACGGTCAATGTTGTCTAAAATATTAACGCAAATTTTGTTTTTGTTTTTTTTTGTTTCTGCACATTTTATTACAAAATATCAACATTATTTGGGTTTCTATTTCGTCACAAACTTTTTGGGGTTCACAAACCCAATTTGTTGATTTTACGAATTTTATTTTGTATTTACTGCTTTGTTTTGTTTAACATAAGAGAGCTTTCACTATCGTATAAACAAATGTATTGTTTTATTGCTATTTTTTTCAGTGTTCCATGGTATAGTCGTTTGAGTTTAGCGGAGCTTAGACAAACATAAGCTTAACCGTGGCTACACACACGTTTCATTCAAATATTGACACATTCTGGACATTAGTGCGAGTACCTCAAATTCAGTTTATACTTAGCTTTAGCTATACGCTATTTACTCACTAGCAATGTACATTATTGTATGGAAATTGAATAAATATAATTAAAAATTCAAAACTCAAGAAACAATTTTTTTAAAAATCTATTCGAAAGACAAAACGACACAGATACAATAACTAAAGTGTAAAGCTTGTTTAGTTTCAGTTTAACTTTCGGCCGAGTAAATTATCAATGAACTTTTAAAACACTAGACGTGCGTAAACGTTAAAACAAATAATTAAAATGGTGGCTCCTAGCAAAGTGTTTACCAGTCCTTTAAAATGTTATCACTGCTCACAGTCCATATTACATCCGGGAGTAGGCTGTGTTCGAAATTTTCTAGATAATCTCTTACATCATGGTTTATCCGGTTTGAAATATTTTTCTCCTTTATTGATAGTGAGTCAAACGTTAGAATATTGTGTTAAACTATTGTCATTTGCTAAGTGTGTGATTTCTTCGTTTCAGACTCCTTTAGTGATGAAATATAAAACGATGAATCGAGAACTATTTGTAAATACCCTAAAATATTATTTGCAAACTGTATGTTCGGCTTCAATGGCTACCTCAAGTGTGTTTCTAATGATTTGTTGTCTAAGGTTAGCAATCATACATAATTAAAATTTATACAAATTAATTTCAAATACTATATAGTATTCTAATTCGGCGTGAAAGCATAATTTTAAAACGTCTGGTTAGAAGACCTAGATAAATTTTACATTAGTCATATGAATTTAAGGAAATCAAAAGAAAAGAATTTAAATTACTTAAGTATTTGTGAGTTTTTTTTTTTTTTATTAATTGTCATAAGAACTTTATAATAGTGTCAGAATACTAACAAAACAGATTTTTCTGTAATTTCGAGAGGTGCAAATTGAATATTTAATATAATGCTGCAATGCATCAGAACAACTATTGTAATAATCTTTATATGATCTATATACTTATGTATTATTTTTAAACGGCCATTTTTTAACGTTGCTATTTATTATACTAAAAATGAAAATTTGTATTTTGATTTCGTTATTCCACAAATTTTTGATGTTCTTGTTTTTTTTTGAAATTTTTGGTTCCCTGTTAAATATCGTATCAGGAATGAAAAATTTTAATTTTGAAATAGTACTTTGAATAGTACTTTTTATGTATTAAAACTACTAAATAGGATTTGGACTTTTTCTATTGACTCCTTTAAAGACTAATATGTATATGGATTAGACAAGGCTATGGACTAGTATATTGGCTAGTCTATTGAATAATCTATGGACTAGTCTAGGACTATGATTTGTCCTAAAATTTAATACTTATTTCTCTGGAAAAGGTTTCAAAGTCGCTAATAAATTTTAATTTTTTATAAATATAACATGCAATATTTCCCTTGTGATTAGGTTTAGTACAAGTTTATAATATTTTATAATTTAATTTTACAACCGACCAGGTTCGTCATAGAATGTCTGATTTGCATATAAATTTGTTATATACATTTTTTTAAAAACGTCTTTAAAATGTAAATAAATTTTAATTACATCAAAATTATATATATTTTTTTCTTTAGAAATTACCTTGGAAACTTTCGTACTTATACCACTCTATTTTTACCGACCGTACTTGGTCTGCAGTTCTGTTGGTTTTTTCCGTCGCGAGTAATGAAATTATTTACAACTGCAACATCACAAACTGTAAGACATTAAGAAAGTAATTGTACACATGTATTCCATGTAATTTACAAATCAAAATTTAAACTCTTGAACTTGCTTCTCCTCTAACCCTTAGATACTAGAAGGTCTTTTACGGCAAAATGCAAACAAATTCACGCATTTAATTTTGCATTCACCCATGGTGCAAACAATATTATTTATGTTAAATAGTGCCATTATTTTACACTATAAACGAAAAAATATTTACAAAGATTATTGGTTTATTCAACCGTATGAAAAAATGGAAGTAACAAGAAATGAAGAGGACAAGGACGTTCTGGCTAATGACGAAAATGAAAATGTTGAAGTTGCATATAATAAGAAATGCCAAACAAAATGTGTGCATAATAATATAACATGTCTGAAATTTTTATTGGATGGTATAAAATCGTATTTAGTTTATGGCATACCTTTAGATTTGTTATCCATGTTAATAAGAGGTAAAATACCGAGAGGAACTCGGGGTTTTACACAAAAAGCTATAGAGAAATTTAAGACCTTTAGACCTAATATGACGGGATTTTTTATATCATATGTCGGAATTTATCGGGTAAGTTTAAGACAAATTTTGTCAAATATATATTATAATTTTACTGTTAATTTTTATCTCAGTTATCTGCCTGTTTGTTGCATAAATATTATGGTCATTTAACTCCCGATCTGCAACATTTGCTGTCAGCTTTCTTAGGCGGCTTTTCGTATGTGTGCTCTCAACGAGTTAATTTATTATATTTCTCCTTGGTCCTATCAATTCAACAGTTGTGGCAACAGTTTTGTACCAGTATTAAAACTAATAAAAAGACGGGTAAACGAACTAATTTGGTTTTGTGGATTTTAAAGAGTGCTCCCATGTCTCAAATAATATTTTGCATTAACTGCGGCTATTTAGTGCATAATTATATTTTAAATTATCATTTGGTGAATAGTTTGGCGAAAGGGTTTCTGGATGCTCTTACTTGTAACAGGTTAGTATGGAATTAGCTAATAAAAATAAAAAAGAACAAATTAAGTGATATTGTGACGTATACGATAATTTTACATATACATATGTATGTACATATGTACACTACGCTCTATTACTACGTGGTATCCAGAAGTGTTCTAATAACGAAAACTTTAGTTCGATTTTCTGAAAACTTTCTGAAAGAAATTTATAGGATTTTTTACAGTTTAATCTACATGTTTTGGTATTAATTTGGAAGAGGGATAAACCGAATCGAATTAAGCAAAAAATTGTGTAAAAGTCTGAATTTCATTACATAACTTAATTTGATTACTTAAATTGTTTTAAAACTAAAACTAAACTAAAAGTAAAAGGCTTATTAAGATAAAAAATGTATCGATCTGGGATTATGTTTCGAAATTTCCAAATTTTGGTATAGTCTTTTATTATAAATAATGTATACTTAAATAACTAATTAATTATTCATTAACAACAAACTTTATTTATTTCCTAAATTTCAGAATCAAAAATATCCGAGATACTTTAATAAAAAACGATCTGCCGACCTTAATTAATATAGCGGAATCTAATTCCATAAGAAAATTTCTTTAGTAATTTAAATTTACATATCATTAGTGTATTATAACAGTTAAAACCAAGATTACCGATTATTTGTTTACGTTTATTACAAGAGCTGAAAGAAACTAACAAAATTCCAACAAATTTGACATGCATAAACATGTCCATCAACTAAAAAAAAACAAACAAACAAAACACAAGAAGATAGTAATAATAAATTTGATTGACTATTATTCGTACAATTTTATTTTATAAGAATAATAAAGACCAAATGATATTTGTTAAGTTAAATATATTTTTCATAGTGTATAATTTATTAGTTAGACCAATGCCCGGTAAGTTGTTAGTCCCCTAAAAAGGAACAATATAAATTGATTTATATATTATATTATTATTAGCTTTAGATGCGCCACAAGTGTATCATTATTATCAAACCACCAGATATACAATGCAAAACGAATGGCCACCAGATATGGAAATTGCCAATGCAGCACCAGTACAGCCACCTTTACCTCAACCGGCCGCCTATTATATAACACCGGTGGCTGTACCAGTTATAAAACCTACATTAGTTATTCCACCAACACCGCCGTCAACAAGCACAACTACTACCACCACCACCTCGACTACAACAACAACTATGAAACCTTTAATGCCCACCAGTATGAAACCGGTATTATTTTTCAAACCTCCCTTAGTGCCTGCAGTATTTCCAAATAAATTATCCAGTGATTTGGACGATGCAACGGCTAATGTAACTCCTTTAAATCCAGCACCAATGTTAAAACCAAATCCTTTTGTTAATCCTCAGGGTAAAAAGATACAATTTTCCTCGAAAAGTGGTGTAGGAAATCCTCTACATACCAATACCTTTAATAAGTTTAATGGACCACAGCGCAAGGAAGAGGGTGCCTTCTGTCGACGCAGTTTTGATGGACGTAGTGGTTATTGTATATTGGCCTATCAGTGTCTGCATGTTATACGTGAATATCGGGTACATGGAACTAAAATTGATATTTGTACCTATCGTAAGAATATACCAGTGATATGTTGTCCCCTGGCAGATAAACATATTGATGATCAGAGAATTAGTGCACAGAGTGAGTAGAAAAATTTAAGTTCTTTAATAAATATGGTTTTATATTCAAAATTTGTCATTAAAAGAATGCCAAGAATATCATGAAGCTGTAAGGGGTATTAAACTGGGTTTACCTCGACATTTGTCGGGTAAAATGTGCGTAGCCAGTATACCCTTAATAGTTGGTGGGGAAATTACCCAAAGAGAAGAGTATCCTCATATGGTATTTTATATGTTTTGCAAAAAAAATGTATATTTATTTATTAAAAAAATCATTTTAGGCCGCTTTGGGGTGGACTCAAAGCGATAAAGAATTGAAATGGGGCTGTGGCGGTACCCTAATCAGTGATTTATTTGTGTTAACGGCAGCTCATTGTGCTACATCAGGAGGGTATGTACATTTATATAACATTTGGAAATATTTTAAAAAAATTTACTTGTGGGAAATTCCACCGAAAAGTCTACATTTGTTACATAACGTCACGCACCAGTAACTACCTACATATGAATATCTTTAGTACCATTCAGTTCGAATGATATCTTCTTTCCCCTAAGTATAGATCTATTTGAGTTCTACATAATAATAAAAAATAATTTTTTCCCAAGATATAGGCAGTTACAAATTCATTTTTAAATATTTTTTTCAGCAAACCCCCCGATATGGTACGTTTGGGTACACAAAATCTAAACCGTACCACCGAAGACCAACAGGATATAAAAATCCTCATTATAATACTTCATCCCAAATATCGTTCCTCTTCATACTATCATGATATAGCACTACTAAAACTCACGAGACGTGTACGTTTTTCACAACACATACAACCAGCATGTCTTTGGCAATTACCCGATCTGGAAATGTCTACTGCTATTGCAACCGGTTGGGGTCGTACCGAATTCTTGGGTCCCAAATCCGATGAATTGCAAAAAGTTGATTTAAACATTATCGATCAGAAAACATGCAAGGAAATCTATCGCAAAGAGAGACGTTTGCCACGTGGTATAATTGAGGGGCAATTTTGCGCTGGCCACTTGGAGGGTGGTAAAGATACATGCCAGGGAGATTCGGGCGGACCATTACATGCAGAATTGCCGGAATTTAATTGTGTTAAATTTATTATTGGCATAACATCGTTTGGTAAATTTTGCGCCGCACCCAATGCACCGGGTGTTTATACGAAAATTTATTCTTATTTGGACTGGATTGAGAAAATTGTATTCAGGGGTTGAATGATTTATGTATATGACAGTAGGAAATAAAAATATTTTATATAGAATAAATGTAAAATATAATTTTTTGTGTGTTTTTAAAGATTTAAGTTAGGAATGACCAATAACATATAAGAAAAAATGATTTTTAATAAATGTTTCTGTGATTTATCGAAAAATGCTTGTTATTTATTTAAAAAATATTAATTGTAATTGATTAAATTATGTTGAACATTTAGCAAATTATATAAAATTGGAACACTAAAACGACAAGACATTTAAATTTAATTTAGGGTCGTAGATTCTTATGCAGACCTATGAATGAACCCCCTGTTTGTTCCCTATCCTATACCTTAAGAATTTTCCATTCTTTAGATATAGGAGATGGAAACAAACATCTAGAGAATAACTGTTTATAATTGGCCTAAAAAATTAATTATTAAAATATCATGAGTTAATTTCAATCCCAAATTATACAAAGTCTTTGAGAAATTTTGAAGATCTTTAATAAATTACATATATCCGTTTATTAAAAAATTATATCAGTAGTATTAACTATTTATAAATATGTACATACATATGTATAAGTTCCATTACACTTAATTTCATTTCCAAACATTTTCCTCTATCCAATCTATAAAATGAGATATTCTAGTATAAACGCTTGGTACATTTGAAGCACAGCCCTCGCCAAATGACGTTAAGCCCACTACATAGGGTACTATAGTATTATATTTCGACTCCTTCATTACTAAAGGACCACCAGAATCCCCCTGTAATAAAAATAATAAAATATTAAAAATATAATTTAATTATAGAAAATAGTTTTATATTATTTACCTGACATGTATCCATTTTGCCTTGAGGATCACCAGCACATATTTGTCCCAGACTTATGCCCATATTTAGTTTATCATTTTTTTCATAATATACATTACAATCTTGATTTGTTAATACTTTAAGATAGACTTTGAGAAGAGTATTCGAAATGGTGCCAGCTAAAATTAAAAATTTTAACTTCAGAATAATTTTCTTTCTTATTTTAATAACTTACCAAATTTTGTATGACCATAACCCATAGCAGTTAAAGTTTCTTGAGGCAAACCCACTTTGCTCCACAAACATGCAGGTGTATATCTAAAATTTTTTTAGAAATAATTAATTCCTGCGAAAACTATATTTATAGCTTTGTTTTAATCTTGGATCTCTATATATACTCACCTTGAGCTCTTTTTTAATTCCACTATAGCAATATCATTATAAGCCATTGGAGGCTTATAATCTGGATGTTGAATAATGCGTTGAATTTTGATCATTTCTGCTTCAGGCTCATCTAAATCTACACCACCCAAACGTACTATTGAAGGGGATTCGCTAAAAATTATATAAATAAAGCTAATAAATGATGATGCCATACATAAGTATGACTATATCAAATTGTAAAATTTATTTTTATAGCCCAAAACCACCATCTGTGGTTCGGGCGGACCATCTGAGACCCTACAAATTCTGAGTCGATATAGATATGTCTGTCTATTCGTCTGGTTTCCTCACAATTATCCAAATTTACTGAAAGTATTCATTATTGTCCTAAGCAGTTATGATTAAAATTCTTGAGTAGGTTTTTCAGAAATAACCAAAGATAATTCGATGGGCTTTGTGATACGTTAATTTTTTCGCCCAGGGATGAATTCTTTTCAAAGTATCCTATAGAACTCATATAAAGGTACATATTCCCGGAAATGGAATTATCTTTAATAACTCCCTAAAAATATCAGTATCGGTTTTTATAATACTTTACAATATCATTTATGAACACAACTGATTCTTGCAAAATTTTTGTACAATAAATGGGTAATTATTTAATGAACATTTTTGTGCTATACCGAGCAAATAATTATATAGGGACTATGTAAAATTATGGACCGATAAAAACCAAATTTCAATATTAACAAAACGCGAAATACAACAATGTTGATGTAAATAAATGTTACTAGATAAGACAACTGAATCACTTGTTGTAAAACTTACCCCCCTAAGGTGGCACAGTGGGCAACAGTCAAAACATATTTGCGAGCTATTAAAACACAACCACAATTGTAAGAAATTTCTGCATGTTTGGAAGAAAATGTACGCCAGCCAAGAGCACACTACATAAAGAATAAAAAGTAAAATAAATTTAGTGCTGTTTTTATTCAATTAACATTTCTAAACAAATAGTCCGATTCTTTGACAGCATATTCAATATCTTGCAAATTCAATATTTTTTCAGTATTGACATGTTTTGTTTTATGTTTCAAAATTTAATTGGCTAATAATTGTTGTAATTGATAACTTTTTTGTCGACATCGATAAACAGGAAGTTAATTACAATTTTCTCTTACCATATATGGAAACTCTTCCGGATTTGTTGGTACACCACCCACCGCTTGTGTTTTGCTTGCTTCAACCTTTTGTATGGTTTCTTCATGAACAGGTTCTAAAGAATCTTGATCCCTGACTTCAGAATCCGTAGCATTTGAATTTCTTTTAGAACGATGGTGATAATGAGTATCTGATTGATACGTTAGATTATTATACATCAAAGCACATTCCTTTTCACTTATTCTCTCTTCTTGCGCAGTTAGTTGATTTGAAAATCTATTTACTAAAAACGGATTATTATGGTAGAGATAATATGAATTAACTGGCAGTAAGTAGGATGTAGTTGATTTTCGTTTTGGTTTTATAAAAGCCTCTGGACAGCAAACAAAATGATCGTAACTGCTGTAATAATAACACGAAAACGGAAATTGTTGATGTTTTTCCCAAGCCTTTACTGCACTTTCACATTCCTGATAACGTATACAGTGTCCTTTATGATGAGCAGCTTCAACATAACAATTTCCCAAATAATCATATGTGATCGGATACAATTGAGAGTAGTATGCATTGTAGTTAAAACGATTATGTTTGTGGCGGTCTAGAATAATTGCATAATTTTATTATAAGTAAAATATTACTTATAAATTCAACGTGAATGAATGAATCATTTTTTACTTACCCCCTTTTATTATTAATATATTTATTATTAATAAAAATATTTTAAAAATTAATTGATAATTCATTTTATTTTTTTACTTAAAGAGTGAATGATCTATCTGGTTTGAGTTCTATTTGTTGAATGAATAGACAGACTTTTTTTCTTAGTTATACCAGCCAGCCAGTCAGTCAGTTAATCATTAATTGATTGATTTGCTCGATGTTTTAATGTTTGTTGTAGTTTTTTTTAGTATACAATAATAAAGTCAATAAGCGTGTATTTCTATAAATATTCGTTCCAAATTAAAAACTAACATTCTCTGGAAATATGGATTGATGTATGTATATAAAAGTGTATTTAAAATTTTTTGCTGTTTTAACAATAAAATTACTTGATTTTTTTTGTTTATAAACAAACGTTTTGGGAATTATTGTTTAGAATATATATTAGAGAATTAACAAAAAATATGCTGTATCATAAAATTTTATATTTAATAAATAATTTATAAAGATCAGTAACTACGAATTTTACATACACTACGAGCCTGCAGCACTGCACTGCATTTGATGATTAGTCTGCGATGCTGATGCGAATCAGTTAATGCGTAGACAAAAGACTCGAATTTGAAAATGTTTAAATGAAAATAAGTTTCAATAAATAAACTAAAATGTAAAATCTTACTCATATACCGCATCATCCATTTTTAGTATATTTCTGTGATGCATACGAACGTACTGCGCATCAGTGATGCATTTCCGAACAGGCATCAGTCCAAACACTTAAACGACATTAAATTTTTTTTCAAAATATGTTTTATAAACCTATGGTAAGTTAAAAACAATAAATAACTCAATAAATATTGACCGACTTTGAGTCATTCATTATAAAATCCATGTTTCTAAAAATTCAATCAGTAATACATATATTTTAGAGTAAACTTTTCCTATATTTGAAACACAATCGTCTCTAAATCAGAATTAATGCACTACTATAGTCTTGTTTCGACTTTTTTTATTAATAATTAGACGCCTACCATCCTGTAATTATAAAAGTATTTTTTAAATTTTATTTAGATTAGAGATCACTATAATATATTACCTAACCTAAACCTAATCTGGCTTTAAAATTTCTCTGTCGCATCAGGTTTTCTAGATATCTTGTCTTAAAGATTAAAAAAACGTTTTTGGCTGTTTTAGAGACGTTATAAAAGCGTGGAAACATCTTAATATATGAAATTTGCTATGTCATTAAAAAAACAAATCTGTCGAGTTTAAAATAAAGTTTTAACCAACCTCTGTTTTAACATCTTTCTTCACCGATTTAAAAAAAAATCGATATTGACCTCATTCAAAAACTTCAACGGTTTTTGTTATTTTACGGTTGACTCAAGCTTTAGGTTAAAAAAGATTTCCAAGAAAGATTTTTCATTCCAAATTTGAAAAAGATCAATTAAAATTTTGATTTCATTCTGATTTGAAAATTGTCTTTCTATCGAATTCCTTAATTCAGCTGTAAATTTCATATTGAAATTAAAATTTTTAATTTTGATTCACTGTGCTTTGAATTGTAATGCCCCGGGTGTATAGGGGCAAAAGTCTTCGGTGGTCATTTTATTAAGCACATAACTTTACAAAATTTTAAGCGATTTGCTTGCTATTTGAAGAAATATACACTGAAAAAAATCCATGCCTAATACATACGAAAAATGTCGTATATTGTACGAATCTTTCGTTGTTTCGCACCAAGAAATTCTTTCGTAATATATACGAAATTGTAAGAAATATTTTGGTATAATGCAAAATAATCTTGGAAAAATTAATTTACATAAATTGAAAAAAGTGAATTTTGAATAAATATGGTAAAATTTACGAAATATTAATTTATGCAAACATTTTTGTTAATTTTAAAATAATTTTTCTAATTTTAGTTCAAAATTATTCTTCACACGAATTTTTAATTTTTTTTAATGAAAATAGTTCGTCAATTATATTATACTTTTTTTTTAAATTTTATAAACATGATGTAATTTTATTTAATGATAATAAACTTAATATCATTATGTTTAATTTCGCTAAAATTTAAGAAAAAATATTACGAAAGGTTTTCGTACTTACGTAAAAATAGAAAAGGGTTTTATTAAGTAATATTTCGTATTATACAAGAAATTTTTGTAAATATTACGAAAATATACATAAGTTACGAAATTTTTTTTTCGTAAAGTTGAGCATGGATTATTTTCAGTGTACATACGCCGCTACATACTAAAAAAAGTTGTGCAGAATTTTTGTTGATGTTTTAAAAGTTAAATGTTAACTATTTTTAATTATCTCTGGACATTTTAATTTTATTTAATTTTCTTTTTTATTTCTTACATTAAACCTTAAATTCTATCATTTCAATCAAAAGATATCGAAAGATGAATTCCTCTAAATTTTATATGAACAATGCTTTACTTGCAGTATTAAATAATATTATATGTATCTTATAATTACATATAAATTGTTAAACATAACTGAACATAAATTTCTGTAAAAAAAATCGTGGTAATTTTAATTATAAACAAATTATATTCTTCAAAAATAACGTCCATTTCTAAAACTGTTTTTATTTCCATTTTCCTATTTTCTCCTTTATTCTTTACTAAAATTAAACGAATACAACTCTGGCCCATTCATAAAACTAAATTCATATTAGTATGAATGTCAAACACCAATAAGAAGCTGTCAGTTTAGTTCATTGCAAATTGTGCCGGTCTTTGGTTGTGTATCTTGTGTTCATCGAGCTCATACAAAACGTGTAATAAATACTTGTTGGTTGTTTTTATAAATAAAAAGTGCAATTGTTAATAATATTTAATAAAATTTTATAAATATCCCGTGAATTGTAATAACCAAGTGCCATAATTTGTGTCATATACCGTTAGAATATTTTTATACGTATGCCTAGTGCATGCTCAATCTTGTCCATTTAAAATTTGTTGTCATTAAAGGAAGTTTAAATATTTGTTTACTAAATAAAAGAAGACAGTTTTAAAGAACTGCCAAGGCGAATAAATCAATGCAAAATATAGTGGATGGTAAAATAAATAAATAGTGAAAGGTTTTAAATGTTTTTTTGTAAAAAGTCTGTACACTTTTAAACAGGTAAAGTTTTCGTCGTTGCTTTGCGAATTTCATCACAATCCACAACGGCAGGACGTAGGGTCCAAATTGTAAAACAAACTCTGCTGCTACATTCACAGCAAAATATAGAATTGGAAGAGTGTGTAGAGGAATTGAAAGAAGAGCCTGGCATAGAACAGGCCTTTAAAAGGGCACGACGCAAGATAGCAAGATGATTCAAAAGGGTGACGATCTCATAAATGGTGTTAATCATAATTATCAATATCCCATAGTAAATAATAACAATTCACAAATGGGAAATAGCGCTGAATTTAGCGGCAATAGTGGAAATGTAATTGAAGCTATGAGGTTAGTATTTATTCAGTTATTTTAAAATATGTTTCCAATTTCCAATGTGTCTGTACCTTAATTTTGTATTTCATCATGGCTTTGTAGTTTTGAAGATTATGCACCTCTAGAGAGCACATTACCACCAGTAGAAACGGTTCTACCTCAATATATACCTACACCACCACCATCTCTGCCTTCTCCTTCTGTTAACATTTCGACCGTCAATACAACTGTTCCACAGTTTCAGTTTCAACTTCAACATCAAACACCAGCACTGCCATCCCTACAACTACAACATAATCAAAACATAAACAACCACCAAAACCACCAATACTATTGTAGCGAACAGCTGCAGCATCAGCAGGTTGGTCTTCATTCATCTTCTTCACCATCACCCTTTTTTCAATTCAACCATAACAACAAAAACATAGAATCCACTTTAAACTCTCAGCTGTTGGTGGATGGTAATTAGTAAGTATTTTGTTTTCACACTCTCATTTTTATTTGTTTTGCTTTAGTTATTTATTTAGTATGTTTTGTTTATGGATTTTTATTAAAGATTTTGTTTTGCTATGATATTTCATATAAACTGTTGCTTATTTTGTTTTGTTGTTTACAATTTCTTTGTGTTTTTATTTAGTTTTCTTCAATGAGTTGTATTTGAGGGGAGTAAATTAAAAAAGTAAAATAATTGAATAATAAGTGAAAAAAAGTTTTACAAAACCACAAAGATAAACAATTACATTATGTCTGTTGCAGTACTTGTCAGTTTTGCAGGTTTTAGTCAGAAAAAATGAGAAAAACAACAAATTTGTTGTAAAAACTTGCAACGTAGACGAGTACGGGAAGAGACATATTATTTAACAATTTGATTAATATGTGACATTTTAACATTTTTTTAATTATTAACCTAATAGCCATTTAATAGCATATTATTAAAAAATAATTACATCTGTTATTTAAGTTTTAATTAAATAATAATATTTCAATTAAATTTTTAAATTAAACCATAGAGAAAAATTCCCTAAAATTTCTTTAAAAATCCCTTTTTTAATACTATTCAAATACAACCCATCAGCATCGTTTTGTTGGTGCGTCCGTCTGATTGTTGCATTTTCTTCAAAAATTTTATTTACTTGACAAATTTTTAGTTATTTAGCTCAATATAATTGTGTTTTTTTAAACTTTTGTGTTTATTGTTTTTAAACTAAATATATTTTTAATTTTAATTTGTGAATCTTTAAATATATACTTTTAATTTACTTTAAACTTTGGAAAAATGCGTAAAAAGAATAATCGTAAAATAAAAATTGAGGCACAGCAGCAACAACAAGTCATTGTTAAGGAAGAGTTTATTTGCCAGGATTATAATATAGAACCCATCAATTATCGGTAATTAATATATTAATAAGAAATAATTTAATCATATATTATAGAGTTTTACCATTTCCCTGCGCATTTCTTTACAACTCATACTATAAAAACGTCGTATTTTAAACAACCTTGTAGAATGAAATAATCTAAGCATACACACATAATCGGTTTTAATTGTCAAAATCCAACTTCGTAGCTAAAGAAAATAATTTTTATTTGCTCATTAATTTCAACAATAAAAGTTTGCTAGGCTTTTTTGTTAACAACTTAATAAAATGCCTCGTGGAACCTATTTAAGTGGAGAAGAAAAAGCTCAAATCAATTCCTTTCGTAAATGTGGCTTTACTATACGTCAAATCGGTGAGGAACTGGGTCGTGATAAGAAAACGATATTTATGTATCTTAAAAATCCTCAAGCCTATCGGAAATTTTATTTTGGAGGCAGGAAACCTCTCATTTCTGCAAGTGTTTGCAGTGAAATAAAAAGAATTGCATCCGAAGAGCAAAAGTCCCCTGGGGAAATACGTTCAATTTTAAACTTACCAGTCTCTACTAGACGTGTGCATCAAATTATAAGGTATGCAAATTTAACTATGCAATCAACTTGTTCCAAGAGCAGGTAAACAAACAAAAAATATGGATTGGAGAAAATTAACTGAAATTTTCTATTCGAGATTGAACGTGACAATGACAAAAAAACATGTGGATACATATTATAAACAAATGATGTGGTGATCATTTAACTAGCGAATTTTTTATACAAAAGTAAATATTTAAATGCGATGAGCTTTGTCTTCAGTTTTGTTCAAGAATACATAATAATACATAATAACTGTACGGTCACAATTTTATTTTCAGTGTTAAATTTTTGGAAATCGAAAAATTATTTTCTTGCTCTCTGTTATAAGTTAGTCATTATTCACTCCTATTCTGCATTTAAATTCGAATCGAAATTTTCCAGTTTGGCATCTTTGGTATTTTGCATTTCGAAGTTACGATCGTAATATGGAATGCACTCAATCGTAAAGTATTTAAATAAAATGGAATTGCTTCTTCTTTTTCGATCGTAGATTAACTGAATGAGGAAACATTTTGACTTTTGCTCAATTTTCGTTCGGTCCTTGGAAAAATATTAGCCGAATACCTAACATTTTAGATAACTTTTTGCAGATTTTCCGTTACTAAACCCATACGTAACAAAAAATGTGAATACTTACCTAGTAGTAACAAATTTATATATATTTTTTGTTATAATTATTTAAATTTCTAATTTATTATTCTTTTTTTATTATTTTAGTACTAATCATACACCTAGAGAAGTGAACAAAACAACAATTGATACCTCAACAAATTCTACAAATGAAGAAAGTCTATACAAAACAACAACAACTGATACCTCACCAAATACATCAATTAATCATTCGATTCTGAGTCAGGAAACCGTATTAAATGTATCCGAATCTTCCACAGTTGATGCTGAGGAAACAGATAATTTGTAAGTTCTATTAAAAACATCCAATATGTATTTTAAAATTATAATTAAGTAATCAGAATTTTAACGGAATATCCAATTTTTCGCTATAAGTACGTTATCTTACTAAAATTCATTGTTTATTTCAAATCTCATTTTTCACTATAAATACGATTTTTTATACCCACCTTAAAAAAAGGGGGGGTTATATTGATTTTGTCTTTCCGTTTGTAACACATCGAAATATTGATCAGACATATGTATGTATAGGTATGTATATTTGGGTCGATATTAAATTCTAAAACGATCTAGCCATGCCCATACGTCTAGAACTAGAACTGATGAAAGCACTTTAGGGTACGAATGGAAAGAGGCAGTGGGTTAAAATTTTAAACAAATATTCCCTATAGGTAAGGTTTGTTTGGTATTGAAAATGTGCCCGTTTTCGCATAGCCCCCATACAAGTGACCCCCCAGAAAACAGTTTTAACAGTCATAACTGTTTTAAAATTCAAGTATAATGAGGAAACTCGACATAGACAAGTTTTATACAAACCAAATTCTATCTGCAAAATTTTAAGAGTATCGGTCCATAATTTACCCTACCCCCCATATAAGGTCCTTTTCAGAAAAACGTCCATTTATGTCTTAAAAATACGAGTACAGCGATGAAATTCGACACAGATATGTTTTATACAATTCGAAATATTTCTACCAAATTTTATGAGGATCTTTCCATTATTTTGCCTTTACCTTTCATATAACTCCCCTTTAGAAAATGCTTTTAACGTGCATCATACTGGCGAATAAAATTCACATTTTATAACCTTCGAAAGTCTTTTTAATCATTGCCTAAAAACATCAAAATAAAAAATCTAATAAATTGAATAAATATAACAGTTTTATTAAAATATACATATGTATATACATACATACATACTATAGTGAAAAGTATAAAGATTTGCTGCCTTATGCAAAAGCGATTATTAAGTTAACAATGGTTATTAAAACCTGTTTTTATATTAAAAAAATTGTGTAGTAAACCATTGTTAACTTTAATAATCGTTTTTGCAGTTGGCACTGTTTTACACTGTTACTTGATGAAAAATTTATATTTTTATACCCTACACCACTTTAGTGGGGAGGGTATATTGGATTTGTGCTGATGTTTGTAACATATAAAAATATTCGTCCTAGACCCACCTTAAAGTATACCAATCGGCTTAGAATCGTTTTCTGAATCGATTAAGCTATGTCCGTCCGTCCGTCCGTCTGGCTGGCTGGCTGGCTGGCTGGCTGTCCATGTAAACCTTGTGCGCAAGCTACAGGTCGCAATTTTCGAGATAATTGGATGAAATTTGGCACGCACGTTTTATTTGACCCAAGGACGAAGCCTATTGAAAATGGTTAAAATCGGTCCATTATTTCACCTAGCCCCCATAGAACAGAACCCCCCGAAAAGGGCTTCTGAGCTCATAATTATGTTAAATATACAGATATATCGATAAAATACGGCACAACTAAGTTTTATAGAAGTCTTGATAACCCTGCCAAAATTCATAAAGATCGGGCCCCATTTGACCCTAGCTCCCATACAAAGTCCCCTTCAGAAAATTACTTGAATGTCCCAAATTAACTTATAAACACAAATATCGCGATGAAATTCAGCACAATTAAATATTATGTAAATATAAATATATTCACAAAATTTTATCGGGCTTGGTCCATATTTGCCCCTAGCCCCCATATAAAGCCTCTTTCAGAAAATTGGTTTTTCATCCATAAATTGCTTAAATGTATCGGATCAAGGGAATATTGAAGATAAATGCGATATTTTGAAAAATAAATCACATTTAATATTCATAACTGGTGTAGGGTATCATATGGTCGGCCACGCCCGACTATACTTTCTTACTTGTTATGATATACATATGTATATGTAGGTTGTTATAAGATGCCTTTATAATGATTCTAATTTCTTTTGTATTATCTCTCTTTTTAGAAATTATGAACACTATGCTTATTTAGACAAATTAAATGTGAGTATTAAACTTTATTTATATTTTCAAATCTTTACTAACAATTTTTTCTCATTTTATTTGCAGTCCGATAATTTAATGAAGTTCAGTCAGGTGAGTTTTTTAACACACTTTATTTTTTTAGAAAAAATTAATTTATAAACGTTTCATAAGATACGCAAAGAATTTGTATTGTTTGTAATGTACAACAATTAAATCTTTAAAAGGAACTTATAATTATTATATAACAAGTTATTGCCTTAGGTTTGTACAACTTGTGCAGTGATTTTATTTGACCATTAGTCCTCTTAAATTTTTTTATGAAATAAAAATACAGATTTCTTATATATTTTAACATACATTTATTTAATTACATTTTATTGTTCCTCCAACATATGATGATCTTTTATATACAAATTTTGTTCATGACGTTTAAAAACACAATAAAATGCCACTAAGCCAATCAAATTAAAAATACATACAAAAACTATACAAATAATACTAATCATTAAACATTTATTATAACGAGAACGTTGTTTCCAAGGTATAGGACCACGATTGGTTTTCCCTGTAGTTGTAGTACCAAAAGATTCTAATTCAACTTCATCCATAGTTGAAGAAAAAATTTTTATTTTTTTTCTTTATAAATTCTATAAAATTTTGTTACGTTTTTGTTAATTTTGATTTTTTTTAGAAATATGAAAATTTTGTTGTTTATTTCAAAGAAAATCTTAAAGTCAAATCACTTTGTATTAAAATTAGTAAAAAACTTGTTACAGCCGATAAAACCTGGAATGGAGAAAGAAAAAAATTAATTATTATTTCTTTATGTTTTTTTATTAAGAATTACTTACATCATGTAATAAACCCAAGTCAATGTTTAATAATCTCATAGGTTGTATTTTAAAATCTATGACTAATATTTCAAATGAGAATTGTTCAACTGATTGTCTAAAACGTACATCAGCATGATCTAATCGAATGCGTTTCAATATTAAGCCAGTCTCTTTAACCTGAGGAAGAAAAAGTGAAAAAAAATATTAATTATTAAGTTGGAAATGTTTTATAGAGATTTTTTAATAATTTGAAAACAGGGTTTTCCAAAAAAGAAATATATTCATAGAAATTCTCTTAAAAAAACTATTTTTCTCGATTTTTTACCATAAAAATGCTTTTGACTAAAACATCAACTTTTTCAAGTTTGTTATTTTATAGCGATAAAGCCATAATCGCCATAATCGGTTATATTTTTACTCTAATGAAAAAATTAAAATTTTAATATTTGCATTTTCAAACTGTTCATGATTTTAGCAATTTTACAAACAAAAAATGTGAAATACAATTTTACTCTTCATCCTCTCTTACCGCCTCAATACTCTGATCAGCCACCAGACTATGCAAAGCTATTTCCAAAAAGGATATTATCAAAAAAACACCATTCGTAATGGCATTAAAAACATCATAACTTTCTTCATTGATTAAAGTATCCGCCAAAGCGTAATACTGGCGAAAGAAACCAGCCGTTATACCAAAGAGATTACACAACAAAGAAGCCATTAAAGGTGTTGAACACATATTCATATACCTCAAGGTCTGAGCACAAATTAGCGAATATTTTTCCGCCAATTCATCCAATTTATCGGCTAAATTGCAAAACTTTTGCATGCGATAGAAAGGTTTATGCAATAGAATCTGATCCATATTTTGTAAAAAATTTGCCTCTTTCTCCAACTCTTTCAAATGACGATTTAAGGCCAAGGTTAATTGTCTACATACCACAAAAATACCAAATAAACAATTCGGTATAATATTGGCTATAACCAAAGGATATAAGGTATAAATTGTCCACAAAAGACTTCTTTCTTCATAATCATTACGCAGTTGTCTTAAAATCAAAGTAATTTCTATGATAATTGGAAAAATAATAGTTTTCAAGGTCACTAGTAGTACTGAAGAATGTATAACTTCAACATCCACATCAAAATATTCCAAGGTATCAAATAATTTCGCTGTGTTAAAGAAATGAGCAGCAGCTTTGGTGTTCCACAATTGTGATAGAAAATTGGTAGCGGCACCAAATATATTCATATAATAATACAAAGTTACAGCATTCTTTAAATCCAATTCCTCCGATACAACTTCGTTATACAAACGGCGTATATAGATCAAGGTGAAGAGTATTATTATTGTTATGCACCATGCCACCAAAAAGTAGTTGATGTAAAATTTCTTAGTACGCCAGGAAAACATGTTTGCATTTAAACCAATCAGCGAAAGCATAATAATTAAAAATGCTATTATATATTTAACCAATTGTATTTTGTCCATATTTATGTTTTGTTTGTTTATTGTTGTATGAATGAACGTATTTAGAGGATATTTGTTTGAGAATGGTTTTGTTAAACTAAATTGTTGTAAATACTTTTTGTTTAAGGCTTATTTTGATGATATGCGCAGGTATTTGTTTTTATATTATTGTTAATTATTATTTAATTGTTACAAAAGTTATCTTTTTGAGATAATCAACTACTATTGATGAACTTTGTTTTATATATTTTTTTAATATCTTTGGGTCATAGTAATTTTGGGGTTGTTTTGACGGTTTTGTGTATTTAAAAGGCTTTAGTTTTTTGTTTATAGTGTTTAAAGCATGTTATATTTCTTTTGGAATGAAGATCCAGCGACGCTTAAATCTTCATACTATATCAATTGAGATTTTTTCCGGAGAAAGTCATCTCGCAACAGTGGAAAAAACTTCAAACAACCAAATTTTGTTGATAGTTTATTAGAGGTATTTTGTTATAAATAATAAAAAAAATCCACTTTTATATAAATTTCTTCGTATTGTTTTGTTTACCTTTAATGTTCCAATTTAAGTTTGCTTCCTTTTTTTTAATAATTTTAAAATTTTATATCATTTAAGGATTTATTGCAAGTTTAATACTTTATTATTTCGTTAAATCAAAATAAATACTCAATCGACTTACACAAAACAATTGTTTATGAATACATTCATTCTTTATCTTATTGCTATTTCTTTTCGGATAAGATAATTTTATATTTCTAAATATTAATGTATAAGGAAACAATATAATACTAGTCTTTGAAATGTTATTAACATTAAAAATGTTATCTACTATTTTTTTTGTTAAACAAGTTATCAGTTATCGATGTCTATATTATATACAAATTTACCATCACAAACTTACAAGCCTTTCACACAATAGGCCTGTTCATTTAAATTAAATACTTTACAATCCAGAAAAGTAAATGAATACTTATTTTCTGAAACTATATTGAAAATCCTTAAAAATTTAAACATTATTTTCAAAATTTTTGACTTCGTAATTGGAAAATGTAAGAAATTGGCATTAAATAAAACTAATTTTAGTTTATTTACTTAATGAATACTTATGATTTAGAAATTATTTTAACACCTTCAAAAATGTTTCGAACATAAGTCATCTGGACATTATGTCGAAACCACTTATGTTTCGACAAAACTAATTAACCAATTAAAATAAAATTTTGGATTTCAATAGCCTATAATCTCCTAATTTTACTCCAATAAATAGATTTTTGATTCAGCTTAAACGAAAAAAGTTGATTTTGCACGAGACTTTTGTGGCTGCCAAATTCCGTTTATATAAGATAGTCTAAAGTTGACACTTTCTTTAAAAATCCTCTCAATATTTGTTTATTGGACATAAGAATTCTTAATGGTATCATGCAATATGATAATTTAACGCTTTCTTTTTGGTATCAAACGTATAGATAGTATCACCTTGATTTTTATCATATCCGTGCAAAATAAGTTTCGTCCGAATAAGCTTTGAAGCCATTTTTTCAAAACCAAATTAACAATTAAAAATCTATTTATTGGAATAAAATTAAGAGGCTTTAAGATATTCAAATCTAAAATTTTATTTTGATTGTTGATATTAACGATTAAAAATTGATTCGATTTTGGAGGGTTCTACCTTTAGTAAAGTGTTATAAAAATATTTCGAATATTCGAACATAGTATTGCACTGACATCAGGTTTATTCATGAATACAAAATTTTGAATTTTGGTAATCAAAAGATCTTTTAACTATCATTTTATAATAAATCAAAATCAATCCAAAAACTTATGGACTTCGAATTTAATTCGTTATAAGCCTGTGTACAATAAGCCTGTTCATACACATACATATATCGGGGAATTCATGTCAAGTGACCCAACTTTTGATACCGATATCTTCCCATCGGAATGAAATATGCACCAATGTTAGTCCCATTGGATAGTAGTTTAAGCACAATCGGTCAAAAACTCTCTGAGTTACAGTGGGTTAAAGTTTGACATTTTTGCAAAACATGTGTTTCGTCTCATCCAGCCAAATTTGTTGTAAATAGTTTATGTAGCTATTTCATTAAACTTTCGGAAAAGAAATATTTAAAAAAAATAAAAAAAAAAATTGTAAAAAAAAATATATTTTTTTTAAAATGGGGCCCTTTGTAAATCTTTACCTTTAAGAGCTTTTTAACAAAATAAATGTAACTCAAGTCAAATTTGCACTATATTGTATTTTTTCCTATTTGTTATTCTAAAATTCTAAAATCTAAAAAATCACTTTTTTCATTTGATTTTGCAAAGAAGTATAAAATGTTTTTCATTATGCACAGTGGGCCATAATCACATTTTTGGAAATTATTCTGGTATTTCGAGACGGCTGGTACGATCGGGACAAATTAAGCGTAGTTAAGGAGTATTTAAGTTAAAATTTTGAAAATAGACTCCATAACTGCTCCAGAGACTTCTCAATGGGGGCTCAAAGTAGGGTCCCTTTGACATGGCATACATGTATATGGAACATTAATTTGTTGGAGTTTTATTAATATTATTAGATGGGAAATTATTAACCCATAATAATGTCAAACAAAATTAGTGTTTTCGCAGATAAAAGGTATGATATAACAATATTAAAAATATCGTGTTAAGCCCTATATAATTGAAAATTAACATTGCCACGATATGGCAAGCTTTTTGAAGCTAATACAAACAAACTTGCTAATTTATTTGCACTTATAAAATTCTCCCCACTCTTTCATTCCGGGGCTTCACAGCGTATTGTTTGTGAAATGACATTAGTCATATGATGTACAGTAGATGAGTATGTTTTTGCTTTCTTTTTATTAAATCTTCTCAAGTATTCCTGTAAACGAACATGCACAATCATGATTGTTTATGAATGACGTCACAGATTGACACGTAATTCTCTTATTCTTTTTATTTGTTTTGTGGTTTAAAATATATGGTGAAATATTAAGAATTTATACTGTGTAGAACAAGTTGTACAAACAAACAGCTTTATTGCAACCTCAATAGCAGGAGCAGATACTTCGTAGAGCAGATACTTCATAGAGCATGAAGTTGATAACATTTAATAAATATAAAGTGTGTATTCTTTTTGTTAAGAATAGTAATAAAATAAACTAATTAAAGTTTTCTTTTGAAGAAAATGAATAAACTATAAAATATATTTATTTTAGCAATCTGTACTGCAGCAATTGATACAAGAACAAATTGATGTTAAACCGGTAAGTATATGAAATTCTATTCTAAACTATTCCCGCTTGTAATATGTTTTAAATTCTTTTTGTTTACATTCAACAGAATCTTAATTTAATACCAACTTGTGAAGAACATGATCATGGCGGTTATAATTTTGGCATACAAATCAATAGTTCGGAAAAATATTGTCAACGACCGGGAGTTGTTTACTCCAAAGAAACTGAAAGACTTTATATAAAAACAAATGAAAATGTTTATATTGATTGTTTCTATACACAGAAAATGCCCATAAAACCGCTTAAAGTTAGAGTTTTTGCGGTATTCGAAAAAGATGTTAGTGCTCCTGTGCTCAGATGTCAAAATCATATAAGCACAGATAATGGTAAGTTTTATAAACTTAAAATAATTTATATTTAAGTTGGTGGAAGAATTTTTTGTTTTTCTTTGCAGATAAAAATGAAATAGTGCGTAAAAGTTTAGTACGTTGTAAAAATCCCGATGCCGTTTACTATGGCTCCGATACGGGCAAAAGTATTAATGATCGTTATTCGGTGGTGGTGCCACTTAATAGTACGGTCAAGGGCAATGAAACTAATCAATTGAAACAACAATTGATTGTTAGTTTTACTTGTTTTAATTCCTGCATGAATCGTAAACAAACGGCGGTGATATTTCTATTGGAAGGTCCGAAGTAAGTTTATATTTGTTAGTAAACATTTTGTTGTCTATGAGCCTTTTTAAGAAGCTTATGTAGGTATACCACTCAATCGATGCATATTAATGGAATGGTCCTCAGTTCACTTTTAGCGATTAAAAATCGTGACCTCAGTATAATTTGTGAAAAAAATATCTTATTTTTTCGCAATGGCCCTCAAATATTACATAATTTTGAGCTGGCTACGGAAAAATTAATTTTAAAATTTTTTGAGAATATTTTTTGTCCACAAAATTTCTAAAAGGGGGTTTGAGGGGCATTTTCGCTTTTTATCGAAATAGGTTTCAAAATTGTCTTAATTTTCAGATTATACAGAAAATTATAGAATTTTTTTTGACATTTGATTTGGTCCACTATAGTGGTTTTGTTTTTGTTTCCACAAAATTTCTTTAGGGGGTTGGGAGGCATTTTCTCTATTAATCGAAATAAGTTTCAAAATTGTCTTAATTTTCAGATTATACAGAAAAATATTGAAATTTGTTTGACATTTGATTTGGTCCACTATGGTAGTTTTGTTTCTGATTCTATATGCGGCAGTTTTCAAAAAAAAAAAAAAGAATTTGTTTATTATTCTCTTATTTAGTACATTAATACTAGGGTGATCGATTATTCGACATTTTCCAAAAACCGGTTTTCGAATAGTTCGAATAGTTGACATTTCAAAAAAAACCGGTTGATATATTTCAAATTCAGAAAAAACCGGTTAACCGGTTTTTCATAATAAATAAAAAAATATATGTTAATTTGAAGAAATTAATGTTTATGTTTAAATTTGATTAATAAAACATGGCCCGAAATGATTTTTAACAGTTTAACAGATTATAACTTTAGATCTAGTCGTCTGATTTACATTATTTCTTTAATATAAAAAAAAAAAATAGGAAAAAAAGTGGACACTTCTGTTAAACATAAGGTACTATGTAATCCTAGCTTATTCTAAAGCCCTTTTAGGAAATTTTCATAGGCATTCCAACACTTCCATAATATTTCAGCGGTAAATTAATTATTGTAATTGGAATATAATCTTAAGATTAATAAAATTTTATTAAACAGTTATCA